TGGATATTTTTCAATTTGTCCAAGATAATAAGTAACTAATTCGTCACTTGTTAACTAAAATAAAACAAATACAATTTCTAATCTTGTTTTTACGTTTTAATTATATTTACATAGTGTGGTTTGCCTTTTTCTTTATTATTTAAATCATATTTTTTTTCTTGTTCATCAAAAAATTCACTTGCAGCAACATCCATGCCAATCTTAACTTTACCATTGTAACCTGCTTTATCAATGGCTTTGACAAGAATCTCAAGAGCTAAAATTATTCATAAAAAAAATAAGTTTTGTTTTTGTTGATGTTGTTGTTGCTATAGAAAATTCTTTATTACCTTTATCAGCGCTTTCAATGTTTGGTGCAAAACCACCTTCATCACCAACATTGGTTGCATCAAGACCATATTCAGCTTTGATTCTAAAACAAAAATTTTTGTTTTTCGTATTGCTTTACAAAATATTAAATAAAGTTTTATCTTACAAATTTTTTAAATGGTGATAAACTTCTGAACCCATACGCATAGCTTCTTTAAATGTTTTAGCTCCAGTTGGTAAGAGCATAAATTCTTGCATAGCAAGTTTATTACCAGCATGACTACCACCATTAATGACCTATTAGATTTAATCAATAAAGTTTTTAAAAAAAGAGAGACATTCGAAAAAAAAATTTTAACTTACATTAAATGACGGTACTGGTAGAGACATTGTTGAATTTGAAAGCTTAGCAATATATTGATACAAAGGTAAATTACTATGAGCCGCACTAAAAAAAATAACAAAAAAAATTAATTGACAATACAGACAAAATCTCGAAAATTATGACAGATTGAAACGATTCATAAACTTAATGACAGCGTGTTCTTCATTTTCAGTAGAAATTAACAGTATGATAGTTTCAATTTAGTTTTTCTTATAAGCGAACGAAAGAAAACTAAGTGTTTGAATTTTGATTCGAAACTTTGTCCTGAGATAAGTCTTGATGAGAACAGTTCATTGTAAAAAGTTCCAGATTTTTTGATTGCTCTGATTCTGAAATAAGAATATCGGAATCTGTCGACATCTATGAGCGACGTAAAAAACTGTACTTTTATCATTAGCGTATGTTAGGATAGGAAAAACAAGATAACTTGAATCTTTCATAATTGATTATTTTCATTAACCACTGTCTCTATGCAGAGTTTAAAGTTAAAACTTAATTTTTTTAATAGGAGCCACGACATTATGCTTTAAAATGCCATATCTTGACGGTAATAAGCTAATAGCCTGAAGGTTTTTCCGGGTATTCACAGTTCATTAAGATTTACTTGACGCACATAATCCAGACTTAAAAGTGATTTGACACTTGGAAGTGTTCCATCATTAGATGAGCTTGTGAATTAAATAGACATGAATAGGATAAAACATTTTTTGTTTTAGTTCCAAGCTTAGCAAAAATTTTCATTGCAGAAAAAAGGTTAAAATTATTCGTTATCAGACTCAATACGGGCGTTATTTTTAATCTATATTATCTTGAATATTTAGTTAAATATAAATCGGATGTATTAAGGAGAATGATTATAGATATGTATAGTCCATTCGTGTTGTAAATTAATTAATCGATTGTATTAAAATCATAATGATTAGGTTTCTCTTTTTTTGAAACAGTGAAACAGAATAACAAGGCGATCATACTAGACCTTTTTCTATCTTCCGTTTCACTATACGAGAAAACTAATAAAATATGTACTGTTAAATGCACAATTAGTCTTTATATAAAAGTAACTAAATCAATAAAAGATAAGAAAATTCTTCGAATAGTTAATAACTAATAAAAAATATTTATTTCTTAGATAATTTTATTATGATTGACGCTATAATCCAATCAATGATTAACAGAAAATGAATCTAATTAATATTAAATATCGATACGATCAAGTTTTCTTTGGTATCACTTTCAGTCATAATAAATATGGAATCGAATCCGTTCTAAATTAGACTTATACAACAGTAGTTAATCAGAATATTTGTTCTTTATTAAAACAATCATCAATTCGTGAATTCGAGTTGGTACAAACATTTTAAAAGAAAAGAAAAAAAAGCTTGCTTAATTTAATAATAAATGTAAATGAATGTTAAAAAGATTTGTTTAATTCAATTTATAGATTTTTCAGTCTTACAAGAAAATTCTTAAATTCTAATATAAAAAGAAAAAAAAAAAAAACTTACCCAGCTTTGCATACGGCAATTGAAATACCAAGAATAGCATTTGCACCATATTTTTCTATAAATAAATGTTAATTTATATTCTATTGATTAAATCTAATAACTTACTTTTACTATCTGTTCCATCTTGTTGAAGCATAAAATCATCAATTTCTTTTTGTTGTGTAACATCAAAACCTTTCTAAAAAAAAAAAGAAACATTTTCATAAATATTAAATCAAAGAATACGATAATAATTCATTACGAACTTCAACAATCATTTTACCCAATTCATGTACATTAGCTACAGCTTTTTCAACACCTTAAAAAGAAATTACATTATTCATAAGATTTCAAATCTAGTTTTTAAGATTTTACCTTTTCCATGATGTACGGCTTTATCACCATCACGTAATTCAAGTGCTTCATAGATACCAGTTGAAGCACCAGATGGTACACCAGCACGGAAAAGGCCTAAATGATAAAATACATAATATATATTCAAGGTAATCTTAAATTTAAAAATGAATCATGATCAAGACTTAGACTTAATTACATAGATATGCAAAAGAAATATGTCAAGTATAAATTTTCAGAGAATAGAAAAAAGGAAATGACACGTAAAAAAAAAGGAGAGAATTGTTACACAATAATATTTCTACAAGGTCATCTATTGCTTGCATAAAACAGTTGATCCCCTTCTGTGAACTATTATAATATTTGATACTCTTAGAGAAAAAGAAATTAACTACTCTATTTTATGCAATATGTTTCTGTTAAGATAAAAAATTTTAATTATTTTGACACTAATATGAAATATTAACCAAGAAAGGTAAAAAGTCTTTTATGATCAAATAAAATTGTTGAATTTTTTATTGGAAAGAAAGAAAAAAAAAATTATTCTACCAATAGAAATTGTAAATATTACCTTTGCTTGTCCAAAGATCAACTTCAACTGTTGGATTACCACGACTATCGTATATGTAACGACCAACAATTTTGAGAATTTTATCACTCATTCTTTTTGATTAATCAATAGATAAAGATCTAGAAAAGATTCAATATATTAAAGAAATTATCTATAGAATAAGAAAAAAAAAAGAATCGTCATTTGAAAGCATTTATTTCTATAGGAAAAACTTACTTAATGTTATTAGATGATAGGGATATTGGTCAATGAATAAGCGACCAAGTTAGCCTTGACGCTACGATTTTTTCTCCTTTTTCTTTATCAGAAACCAACGAGAATCGAATACTAGCAAACAAGTCTTAGCAAAAACAAGTTCTTTTTCTTTCTTTTTTCTCTCCCTCTATATCTCTTCGTTCTCGACAACAAGAAAAAAACCTTCATGAGAGAAGCAATTCATCGCGCCGACAACATATACGCATGCATCTAGTCTATTTAACAATTGACCTTGTATTCTAACCATAAGAACGCAAAGCGCAAGAGAGAGAAAAAAATGTCTGGCATATTGTGTAACTGATGACGACGATGATGAAGAAGGATTATCAGGCGCTGCGTGTAGAACAGAAAAAAATAAAGAAAAAAAACAGCAGATTCTGTTTTCTCTAGTGGTTGCCTCTTACTCTTACCAAGGGCAGACACACAAGCATAAGCTATTATTGATGATGGCATTGACAAGTTCGTTCGTTAGTACACACGATAGGAGACTAGTTTGGCTTGCTTATAGACAATAAATGTTTACAGACAATAAAAAGGAATGATCGTATGATATTCTTGCCTTATGTCAATAAAAGTAACCTACGAATAGAAACGACTGAAAAGTGTATTCTTAATATTGGACATAACATTAAATCAATCATCTCAAGTCTACTAATAGACACTTTTCGTTTATAGACAACAAAAATGAAAATACATTTTCGAGAAAGAAAAAGTCAAAAGAAAAGAAATCGACATGAAATGTAAGTCAAACTTTTGTTCTCAATCTTCGAACATAAACTATTGAACAGTGCTTTACCTAGCATGAAAGTGGTGCTACTCTAAAGATTAAGTTAGTTCTTCAGATCGACAATATCCTATATGGTAGTTGGCCTAATTCATAGGACACATCAAAGCGTGTCTGTAAAGGCATCAAGAAATGTGGATATCGCTGATCTGTAGAAGTGCTTACCTCCCTACAGTTGTTAGTTATTATACTATATACTGTGTACCTGTGCTCCTATAAATATTTGTCCTTCCGGAAGAAAAAATCCAGGTGAAACACTTTTATTGAAACTTTCACAGTCATTTTTTCTCTTCTAAGAAAAAAAACAAACCTTTATTTTTTTTTTCTTCGGGTACATTAAAACATATGTTCCATAATCACCTCATTTTTTTGCTTTCTTCTTACCTCTCTACATGATCATCAACTCAGCTGTTCTACTTACAGATGAAATTAAACATTTTTCTTTCTGTAGAAACAAAAAGCGTTACACTTAAATTCATCGCTCCTACCAACTTTCTACTGTTGTTTACTTCGTCGATGTATGCCACGAGTTGGAAATACGGGTAATGTGTGGATTTGTCGTGTTCTGCTTATTTTCTACCATTATAACAGCGAATAATAAACGACGACAAGAACCGAGAAAGAATATGATAAATTTTAGCACAGTAGCACACAATGATAAGTTACTATCATTTAGATTCTATGGTCACGCCAAATTTTAATATAAAACAATGAAAAGAAAATTTTACTCTTTTTGATAATTTTTTTATTTATATCCAACAATCTAAAGTATCGAAAAGAAGGAAGTAAGAAGGATATTTTTGTGTGGAATAGACTGACTACAAGGAGTAGCAAACAAACTCGCACAAAAATGTTTAATCAATTTTGAGGTGGTACAGGCCATGTACGTGGTGGAGGTAATTCACGTGGTGCCAACATAGCTGAATAACCATCAGATTTTTCAGCTGCTTTCTTCTGTTCAAGTTCAGCTAAATGATCAGGAATTGGACGATAATACCATCCTTTATTATCACCACGTGCATGTTCCAAACGTCTAACTTTTCGTTCAAGTGCTCTACAATATAATTAAAAAACAATATATCATATCAATAATTCATTATTTCGATTTTTCTTTTTTCTGTACTTAAGTTGATCTCTCATAACTTGTGTATAGATGGCATGAAGAGAAATTTCATAACGTTCATCAAATGGTTGAACTACATATCGAGCCATAAAACGACGAAGAGGATGCTGAAATAGATAAAAATAAAAGATTCATATATATTTTTGTCTGATGAAAAATGTCGAAAAAATAGAATAGATACAAACTTTATAATATTCCCAATGTCGTGGTTCATAACCTTCGGGAATTTCGGCAAGTGTTGCTTGACCTATGAAATAATATTAATATCAACAATCTATTTATTAAAAATATACATACCGACAAATACATTAGCATAAAAAACAACACAAAACGTAGGTACCAAACCAATTAGAAAGTAATAATGCTAGAAAATCAAAATATATAAATTTATTTATTATCCTTTTAACATACAGTTGAATTGTGAAATTTGAAGGTTTTTATTTGATTGACTCTTTTCTTATTTGAGTCAAATGTTTGAAATACATTTCTTTTATACAAAATAGCAAATTTAAAGAGAAGTTTATATTAATGTTCGAATGAGTGTCTGAAGATTGATATTGGATTCGACTTCTTATTAATAAACTGATGACATTTCAATTAATACAATCATCAATTTATCAGTTAAGCTTGAATTTGGAAGGTTATAGACGTCTTTCCATTGAAACATCTTTTATCTATAATAACATTCATAACTTTGCAAATTCAAATTTAATTAATCAACTGATGATTTTATTACTTGAAATATCATTTGATTGTATTCAATTTTACAGATTCCAGATTCACCTACACTTTAAAAAAAAAGGCTTCTTATTGAACCTTTTAAAGTTCGTTGGTGCTGCGAAGCCATTCAATTTTAAAACGAAATCTTATATGTTTCCTGCTATACCTTAAATAATTCATATCGAACTTAAATGGTTTCATATTTTTGATATCGATCTTTTCTCATCCTACGAATCTCAAAAAAAGGTCTTGTAGCTCTTGTTGAACTTGAAAAGGTTCGATATTGAAAGAATTTGTGTTAGAGAGTAGTTCAATTCACGATAGGACATGATCTCAGTTTAGTTAGACGGCAACATATATATAGAGGTGGACCATAAATAGTGCTACGATAAAAAAATGAAGTATCTCCGCCTTGGTTCAATCAAATGAGCTGATTTTTTGGTGCATGATAGGAGTCTTTTCTTCATTGAAAGGAGATAAGCAAATTATACTATTGTATTATTGTTGGTATTATTAAAGCAAATTCACCTGTTATGAAGTAAGAAAAATACAAGTGTGGCGTTTCATATAATTGTCAATTCTGATCTAAGAAGAAAATTAGAAGAAATCAAAACGAACTTTATAATAAATGATAGTATAGCATATTAATGGCGTGGAAATTTCTATCTAACTCTATGCTCGAAAAAGTTCTACTATGTTTTGTCTTTGAGCAAGACTAAAATATGATCTGTAAACAGCTCAAAGTAGTAGGTATAGAAAAAACGAATCTCTAAGTACTTTTTTCATTTTTAATAAAAATCAATTGAAACGTGATGTCTACGATTGACCTAACGGCTTCAGGTCTGTGGATAAGTTTTTTCAAAGAAGTTCGCAATATTTATGGCATGGATTGTTGAGAATAGAAACGATAATCTGATATAGAAAGGATAAGCACCATCTTATGAAATGAATCACAATAAATTGTAAAATACTATGGAATCAGTACCTTGTATGCTATTACATTTCTTTTTATAGACTAAGTTGTAATGCAAGACATGTTTCTTACTGAAAGGCGAAATATGATAGAACTTTTCTAAACATATAGTAAGAAAGAGCTTTTAACGTAGATTCTATACAAGTACTTTCGATTTCGAGTTTGGCCATATTTTTTTATTTGAAAATAGGTAAAATTTCTTTGTTGAGATCAAAAATAAAACTTGACACTTTAAATAAGTTTCTACTACTAACCAAAAAATCAGCCCATTCGAACAAATCGAAGCGAAGATGTTTCAATTTTATATAGTAATGCTATTAATTAGAAGGTAAAACAAAACCTATAGAAATTTCAGAGGATCATTCTAACAATACTGTTATATGACCTGAATGAGTCCCTACTCTTTCACCTTCGAATATGAGACAGTAAAAAGTACAAGGATAGGTTCACGTTGCACTCATGATAGTTACAAACAGTTAAGAGATAGTAGTTTACATTCTGTTAAAACAATAAATGCAACGCTCATTCTTTAATCATTCACTTACACATACATATCGTAATTTATTCATTTTTTGGTTTTATCAATATTAACTTTTTATTCAGATTTTTTTCTTCCGGAAAGGTGAACACTGTTCTTAGAAGCATAGATACATTATATATATATATATGGGAGGTCGCTGTCCTCATGTTAGATAAAACACAGATTCATATGTTCGACGGTATGCAGCAAGGAAAGCTTGACTTTACATGAGACATCGGTTTATTAAGTTATGAAGTTCTAAATAAACTCTACGCTTAGAAAGATTTATTCTTGCAAAACAAACTTCTACTACAACTTACAAATAAATCAAAGAATTTTCGTTCATGAAATTCCGATATCATCATTTGCATACGTCGTTCTGAACTCCATCGTTTTACAACTAAAATTACAAATATATATATATATATACAAAAATAATTAAATTTTCTCATGAAACAAAAACAAAACTTTACTTGTTTGTAATTGTTCTGCTGGTTTTAATACCGTTTGTAATAACGGTCGAAATTTACTAAATAAAACCATTTTTCTATTTGAAGTTTTATGACATATCTAAAAAATATATATTTAATTCTTATATATGTGTGCTTTGTTATGTACTGAAGCAGAAAAATTTATAATGGGTAAAACAAGGGTAACATTTAATAACCATTGACAATGGCAGATGAATGAATCTAAGAGAAAACAAACGAGAAAAAAAAATGCAAGATTCTTTATATAAGTCAGAAGTACACAAACGATTGAAAAGAGCAAAGATCTGACTCTAAACTCATTCATGAAAATGAATACGAGAGAAGAGCAGGGACTATTTATAACATTCAAGAATATGCTTGGTTATCGATATTCGTAATTTTGTTGTGCCGAGAAAAAAAATGTCAAAATTAGATCGAAATCTAAATGAACAAATATTGGAATGTAATACATATACACAAAGACAAATAAAGATATAAGAAAGAGAAAACAGTTAGAAAACATTAAAAGTATACAATTTTTCTAATGTAAGTAATATTAATATCATTTTTCGTCATGAAAACCGTTCCAATTAAAATAATCTTATTGATGATTTTATATGTTTTCTAATATATCATCTTCTTCTGTTGAATGTGTTTTTGTCAATGATTTTTCATGTTCAATAATATAATCAAGGAATGCTTGACGAATATTATATGAAAATGGACTATCTTGATCAACCATTCGTTCAGGATGCCACTATAGTGAAATAAAAAAATCAACAGATAATTTAATATAGACAACATATGCTCTGTATTCTCTTTTTTTTTTTTTTTGTTATTACTTGTACGCCTAAATAAAATGGATATCCATTTGTATTTTGCCATTGTACTGCTTCAACAATAGGATCTTCAGCTCTAGCTGCTATTGACAAATTTTTACCAAGTGTTTCAACACATTGATGATGAGAAGAATTAACAGCACCTTTTACACAACCGGTTATTTCATTAAGAAGAGATTTTTCTACAACATGAATTTCATGACGTTGATCAATACCTATTATTTTAGAAAAATAAATTTTATAATTGCTTTTCTTACAAGAAAACTACACGAATTAGTATCCGTTGTTTCACTTCATATTAGATCCATAAGAAAGTCTGAATGAGCCCAGCAAAAGATTTAAAATGGTTTGTCAAGATGGGCACTTGTCGCCGAACTACGACCGTTTTACTAAATTTTCGATATGAAATTTCGCACATAAACAGATTGAATAACTAGTAGAATATCTTGAAAGTTTCAGCCGAAAACAATTGTTCCTTGAATTTGCAAACAATGGTCATTTTCCATAAAAATCATTTGACTTCTATATAGACGATGTTCATTTGATGAGTACTAGTGTCTAATAGAAAAGTATATCATAGTTTAGTTTTCCGAACCTTCGTTCATGAATCATCGAAATTTTACTGAGTTTTTCAACAACAAAAAAATTTTTTCCCGTCAGTGTACATGGAAAATCAACTTTTCAAGTTTCGACTTCAAACTTTGCATGAACCAAGTTCTCAATGAAATTACTTCATTGAACAAGTTATAACTGTTCTAGTGTCTCCTATACTGAGATATTTGAAATTCTCTCATGTGTAACAACAATATATTTATATCTTTAGAAAGGTAATACTAGAAAAGCTAAAACTTGTACAATCAACCAATCTCATTAAAAACTTTGTTCCAACAAAATTTGAAGTTGTAACTTGAAAGTTGATTTTCCACGTGACCTGAGGTGTAAAAACAGTTTTTTGCTGCCAGACCCAGAAAATCAGACCATTCTAGACTTTTCTATTACTCACTAGTATGCATCAAATGAACATCGTCTCAGTCAAAAAGTGATTTGACATCTGGAGAAATTCCTTCATCAAATAGAAAATTCCATAAAACAATCATCGTTTGGTTCAGAAGACTCACGAACATGAACCCTTTTAGACTTTCGCTATTCTCACCAAAGCATTCTTGTTGACCTAATATGAGTTCAAACGGTGGCTATCAATTCGAGTAGTTCCCTCGTTAGATTATGCTTTCAGCATGAATTTTCTTCCATCGGGAAAAAAAGGAAGTTAAAAATGTATTATTTCAATTACATAGTAAAACGTCGATATTTTGCTTGTCTTCATCTAATAGAGAGTGATGGATTCAGAGGAGGAGGAAGCACTTGGGACGCTTGTCTCTTCCTTTCTAGTCTTTTTCATTTTTCTCAGCAAAAAGCATCCTCAAGTGGCAGACTATAACCTCTAATTTAACTTCAAAACACATTTTATGACTATGACCATCCCCAATTACTAAACTCTTAGATTCACCACTGCTAATAGGCAAATATTTTCTAGGAAGTGAACGTGCTATTATTTAAGCTTTCTTCAATAATTCAACAATCAAATCAACAAACACTTTTTTCTTCGTATAATTACTCTATTGAATTTTTCTAAAACTCTCCATAACATTAAATATGAATGGATTCACATGATAGTAATGAGTTGAACAGTTTGAAAAAGCTTATTTTAATTATTTTTATCTTATTTAATCTAAATTATCCTTAGCTGTTGCATTAGTTTATACATCATCTAATGCTAATAAATATATTACAAATCTCATAAAAAAAAAATAGCTACTATAAATAATTTCTTATTCTAAACAGTTACATTATTTCAATTAATCATGAAATAATGAATACTTAAAAAACCATCTACCAATGAGAAAAGCAACAGTTGTTTTTTTTTCCAGTATCATATAACAAATATTTCTAGTTATAATCGACTTTCAGAAGATTGAAATGCTAAACTTTCTTAAACTTGCTTCGAAAAAATACCTTGTGTTTTGGCATGTCCATTAATATTTGTAACCTTTGGAATATCAAAAACCAATGTACCACCTTGATAAACATTAAATAATTGCATACCTATTTATAAAATAAGAAATATATTCTATAGATATCTATAGAATAATATGCTAACCTCGACATATGCCTAAAATCGGTAATTGAAGTTTTAATGCTCGTTCAATAATTTCCCATTCAAATTCATCACGTTTTTCATCAATATCAGTAAATTCTAAGTGATCAAGAAGATCTGGTCTTCTATATCGACGTGGATCAACATCTTCCCTACCTGATAAAACAATTTCTTGACATTTATCAATATCATCAATATTATTTAAATGATAAGAAAGACGAATAGCATCAAATTTGATGGGTGCATCTAGAAACCATCGTTCATAATTTGCATAATGTGCATAATTAGTTATGTCAATTTTAATACTGTTCATTTGTGTTGCAGTTTTCATTTTGCATAATTAACAAATGTCGATAACAGAAACGTCGGCGGGTTGACTCATTTCCATTCAATCCGCTCGATTCGTGGCACGCGGGCGGGTTAAATTTCTGATAGGTCGCGGATTACGGGCCAGGTACTTTCGTGATTTACAGATTTCATCGGTCGAGTTGTATTTTTATGTGCATCTGCGAATTTAACCCATGTTCAAATTTTGCTTTCCTTTCGAGTAATACAAAAATTCTGCATTGATTTTGTTTTTTGATGTAGCGCTGTGATCAAATGTTGTAGAGACTTCATTGTTTTTTTTTTTTGTTAAAAAGAGTAAAGTGTCTAGTGAAAAAATACACCATAGAACTCGATTAAAAATTTTCTTCAAAGACCAAAAAAGAAATTTTAAACAGAAGGCTTCCGAAGCTCTGCCACAGCTTATTTTGAACTTAGAAAAGATACCATCGAATTAGATCGATTATATATTTATTTGTCAAATGTGAGCTGTATAAGATAGGGATATAGCACTACAGCTGTAAAAAATCTCCATACATGTTTTATAATGAGCAAAATAAACGCTTTTGTAATATTCTCTGGTATCAATGCTTCTCATCTCAATCGATTACAGTCGCAAAAATGAAGTTTATTTCTGAGGGAGAGAGGTTGCCACAATCTAACAATTTTATACCAAAAAGAAAACTTATTGAGTTCTCTGTCAAACAATCTCATTTGAAATAGGATAGAGGTTCTCTGTTATATATTCAGCTATACATTTCTTTCACTTCATAAATCCCAAACAGACTTAATCAAATTTTTTAATTGCAGTATCTGCTGTCTATTCTCTTGTATGCAAGACCAACTATTTGAATATCAAATCAGAGCCTTTATTGTAAGGCACAAATATATAAATATGATTTTTGAAAAGATNTGAACTACATATCGAGCCATAAAACGACGAAGAGGATGCTGAAATAGATAAAAATAAAAGATTCATATATATTTTTGTCTGATGAAAAATTTCGAAAAAATAGAATAGATACAAACTTTATAATATTCCCAATGTCGTGGTTCATAACCTTCGGGAATTTCGGCAAGTGTTGCTTGACCTATGAAATAATATTAATATCAACAATCTATTTATTAAAAATAAACATACCGACAAATACATTAGCATAAAAAACAACACAAAACGTAGGTACCAAACCAATTAGAAAGTAATAATACTAGAAAATCAAAATATATAAATTCATTTATTATCCTTTTAACATACAGTTGAATTGTGAAATTTGAAGGTTTTTATTTGATTGACTCTCTTCTTATTTGGGTCAAATGTTTTAAATACATTTCTTTTATACAAAATAGCAAATTTAAAGAGAAGTTTATTTTAATGTTCGAATGAGTCTGAAGATTGATATTGGATTCGACTTCTTATTAATAAACTGATGACATTTCAATTAATACAATCATCAATTTATCAGTTAGGCTTGAATTTGGAAAGTTATAGACGTCTTTCCATTAAAACATCTTTTATCTATAATAACATTCATAACTTTGCAAATTCAAATTTAATTAATCAACTGATGATTTTATTACTTGAAATACCATTGATTGCATTCAATTTCACAGATCCGAGATTCATCCATAGTCTAAAAAGGCACGGTTTTTACTGAATTTTCATAAGTTCGACGCAGACGACGAAACCCTAAATGGTTGTTCACCTGGATACACTCTCGGAACCTTTGCTACGAGGCCTTGGTGATGTCTGCAGAACGAAAAAGGGTTCGATATCAAAAATAAGAAACCATTCGAGTTTAATACAAAACTGTATACGATTCGTATAGAAGGTAAATGATTTTGTAGCTGCTGTCGGACTTAAAAAACGTGCAGTAGTAAAACGAGTTTTGTTTCGAGAGTAGGTCAATCCAAGATAGGGTATGACCTAAGTTTAGACGGTAACATATATATAGACGTGGGCCATAAATAGTACTACGATAAAAAGATGAAATATCTTAATGTTGATTCAATCAAATGAGATGATTTTTTGGTTAAGGGTAGAAGTTTATGTAAAGTTTTATTTTCATACGAATGATGTAAGCAAGTAGTACTATTATGTATTGTTATTGGTATTACTAAAGCAAATTTACCTGTTATGACGTAAGAAAAATACAAGCGTAGCGTTTCATAGATAATTGTCAGTTCTCATCTACCAAAAAAAAGAATAAGAAGAAATCAAAATGAACTTTATAAATAATACTATATTGATAGATACAGCAAATTTTCAGAACTAGGTAGTTAAAAATCAATGATCTCAAAATTTCCAATTTTCAAACACTGACCACTGTGCATCAATATAGAGGGCGATGCAAAAGTTCCCGCACAAATGCTAATCTATTTTCATTGACTGAAACGTGTATGGACGAACTCGAAAATACTTGCACAGAATCTATGTGAAAGGCTCTGCCTAAATGAATGTTCACAACCGTTCTATCATCTTCTGTCTTCAAACAGCACTAAAATATGATCTGTAAAAATCGCTCAAAGTAGTGGACACGGAGAAAAAATGAATCTTTCAGTATCTTTTATTTGTTCTGTCCAATACAACCGATTGCATGTTGCTAGTCTTTTCCGGTTAGATGATGCTATCGACAATTTGAAAAACAATGATAAAAGAAATAACGTCAGGGCAATGTGATAACAATGTTGAGTGGGTACAATTTTTCAAGATTCGAATCGCATCATTTTTAATAAAATCTGTTGAAATGTGGCGTCTATGATTGACCCAAGAGGTGACCGATCACTTCGTCGCAATCATTTCGTCGCACGATCACTTCGTCGCAGAATAATTTCTTTCGTTCTGTCGTTGCATTCTTCTCAATGAGCCTTATTCCCATTTCAATTTTTGGCCACGAACATGTATAAAAGTGGCTACACAATAAATTACGTGTAATTGAGGAGGGTCTCTGTTCTTTTATCTCTCTTTATGAATAGTCTTCCTTGTTTAAACAAGGAAGACGATTCATAAAGAGAGATAAAAGAAAAGAGACCGTCCTCAATAACACGTAATTTATTGTGTGGCCACTTTTATACATGTTCGTGGCCAAAAATCGAAGTGGGAATAAGGCTCATTAATTCTTTTTTTTTAAAGAACCAATTGCAATAAAATAAAATAAATTAAAAATTCTGAAAGATGTATACGATAACGATAAACAATTGACTATTCTACGGCATATGATTTTAATTGGGAAAACGAATCAATAAAAAATATTAATCAAAAGTGATCATGATAGAGCTAAAGTGAACGAAGAATAATTAGAATTGTCACACAGTTAATGAGTTTCAACATAATCTAGACCAACAATAATACTGATCAAATGTTCTTAATTATACGACCACGATAAATAAAAATATACATTGATGAAATTGAGAATATCGTTATTGAAAATTCTATAGTGTAGAGGTAACTTTCATAGAGGAGCACTGTTTCCTTTAATAGAAAGGAGTTTTTCCATTTGAGACGTTTATTTTGAGAAGTAGTGTGCAGTGAATATTGAGATTGAGAAATGAAATATATTTTCAATGTCATCGATGCATGTTATTTTTATTGTGATCCCATAATTAAAAACATTGGATCTGTGTTATCGTTGGTCTAGATTATGTTGAAACTCATTAACTGTGTGACAATTCTAATTATTCATCGTTCACTTTAGCTCTATCATGATCACTTTTGATTAATATTTTTTATTGATCCGTTTTCCCAATTAAAGTCATATGCCTTAGAATAGTCAATCGTTTATCGTTATCGTATACATCGTTCAGAATTTTTAATTTATTTTATTTTATTGCAATTAGTTGTTTAAAAAAAATTAATTGAGAAGGATGCAACGACAGAACGAAAGAAATTATTCTGCGACGAACAGAACTCGGCAAAATGTTCTGCGACGAAGTGATCGTGCGACGAAATGTACTAGTACCAAAAAAAAACATTTACCAATGACAAAAGAATCAGTTCTTTTTTTCCAGTATCATATAACAAATATTTCTAGTTAAATCGACTTTCAGAAGGTTGAAATGCTAAACTTTCTTAAACTTGCTTCGAAAAAATATCTTGTGTTTTGGCATAGCCATTAATATTTGTAACTGTTGGAATATCAAAAACCAACGTACCAACTTGATAAACATTAAATAATTGCATACCTATTTATAAAATAAGAAATATATTCTATAGATACACCCCTGGGCAAAAGTCTTTCCCCCCACCTCTTTTTTCAGCAGGAATTTCTCTACTATTGTAAAGACAAACATGATGTTGTTCAGGCCAAATAAAAGAGAACCCGAATAACGCCTAATCGGCCCGAACAACACCATGTTTGGTCCTTATGGCAGTAGAGAAAACCTTGCCGAAAAAAGAGGTGTGGGGGGGGGGGGACTTTTGCCCAGGGGTGTATCTATAGAATAATATGCTAACCTCGACATATGCCTAAAATCGGTAATTGAAGTTTTAATGCTCGTTCAATAATTTCCCATTCAAATTCATCACGTTTTTCATCAATATCAGTAAATTCTAATTGACCAAGAAGATCTGGTCTTCTATATCGACGTGGATCAACATCTTCACCACCGGATAAAACAATTCCTTGACATTTATCAATATCATCAATATTATTTAAATGATAAGAAAGACGAATAACATCAACTTTGATGGGTGCATCTAGAAACCATCGTTCATAATTTGCATAATGTGCACAATCAGTTATGTCAATTTTAATACTGTTCAATTGTGTTGCAGTTTTCATTTTGCATAATTAACAAATGTCGATAACAGAAACGTCGGCGGGTTGACTCATTTCCATTCAATCCGCTCGATTCGTGGCACGCGGGCAGGTTAAATTTCTGATAGGTCGCGGATTACGGGCCAGGTACTTTCGCGATTTACAGATTTCATCGGTCGAGTTGTATTTTTATGTGCATCTGCGAATTTAACCCGTGTTCAAATTTTGCTTTCCTTTCGAGTAATACAAAAATTCTGCATTGATTTTGTTTTTTGATATAGCGCTGTGATCAAATGTTGTAGAGACTTCATTGTTTTTTTTTTGTTAAAAAGAGTAAAGTGTCTAGTGAAAAAATACACCATAGAACTCGATTGAAAATTTTCTTCAAAGACCAAAAAAGAAATTTTAAACAGAAGGCTTCCGAAGCTCTGCCACAACTTATTTTGAACTTAGAAAAGATACCATCGAATCAGATCGATTATATATTTATTTGTCAAATGTGAGCTGTATAAGATAGGGATATAGCACTGCAGCTGTAAAAACTCTCCATACATGTTTTATAATGAGCAAAATAAACACTTTTGTAATATTCTCTGGTATCAATGCTTCTCATCTCAATCGATTACAGTCGCAAAAATGAAGTTTATTTCTGAGGGAGAGAGGTTGCCACAAGCTAACAATTTTATACCAAAAAGAAAACTTATTGAGTTCTCTGTCAAACGATCTCATTTGAAATAGGATAGAGATTCTCTGTTAGATATTCAGCTATACATTTTTTTCACTTCATAAATCCCAAACAGACTTAATCAAATTTTTTAATTGCAGTATCTGCTGTCTATTCTCTTGTATGCAAGACCAATTATTTGAATATCAAATCAGAGCCTTTATTGTAAGGCACAAATATATAAATATGATTTTTGAAAAGATCAAAGTTGGATAATCAAAACGCTCAAAGAAATATCTTTTGATGACAAAATTATGGTCACAGTTGCGAAAGAGTTTTCTGATTTTTTTTGTTCTAGAACTTTGTTGGTCTTTAAAAAAGCTTTCCAATCAAATTGTTTTACTGTAATTTTCCACTAGACACTGCTTTTTCTAAAAAAAGAACAATGAAGTCTCTACGACATTCCATTACAGCACTATATCAAAAAACAACTAATCCAGAACTTTTGCATAACCTATTATAGATGTGCTTTTCTCTCTCAGTTTGATTAAAGGGCACGGGTAAAAACAATAGTCACATCTACACCATCTTCAAGTTGTATCTGCTTTATTAACATTGTATGCATGACCATATACTGTTACTTTTACTTCGATATTCCTTATCTTGCACTTTTATTGAAATTTTGTAATGCTTGTGTCTATGATTAGGAATCACGAATAATATTCTAATTATAAAAGTCTTGGCTTCGCAATCAAAAAAATAAATGGGTCACTAAGAAACCTAATGAATTTGTAAGTAAATATTATACTAGCAAAGTCTATATTAACCTGCTGATTAGCCAGCGACGGTTAGCTGATTCTTCCACCCGTAGAGTAGTCCGAGGGTAGAAAAAATATATCTCAACCCGTAAAGCGGATCGCATTTGGCCTCGAACGGATCGGGCTGAAGGGAGGGAGAGGTGAATCAAAAACAAACAGTCACTGACATCTCTGGTCCATAATGGCCATAGAAAAAAAATACAAAAACCTTACTTGAGCAGACGAAATAAACTAGCGACAATCGACAACGTAACATGCAAACAATGTTAAGAGGGGATCATTCATTCATATTTGATTGGTTTGGTCTTTCGACTAGTAATAATGAATTTATATGAAGTAGGGTTTTTTAAATTATACAACTATTTTTCATTCACAAGTCATTTCATTTAAGAATGATTTATTTACAATGAAGTCAGAAATTTAAGAATTTATCTTCGAACATATTTGATTAGTTATAGCGCTATCTATAAAATTGTTTTCTACTTGTATAAATATGATATGACCGTTGAAAGAGAACCATCAAATGTTCTTGAGTGTGAGTAATGTCAGGTCATTATTGTAAAAATTCTATTTTCTTTTTACATATTTCATAATGTAATAAAGTTTATTTATATAAATTTATAATGCATAGACTTGCTTTTGTCAAACATCATCATGTAGATGTCGTCAGCAAAACTAAACTTAGGCACAACTTTTTTTTAATTAGAAACACAAAACCATGACAAATTTATTTCAAAATAAATTCTATTTTTTGTTTGCATTAAGAAAACATTCCATGTATCTGTTTTTTTAAAAGATAAAGTATTCATTTTCATTCTGTATTGTAATACATCCATCCATCACTTCTTCTGTGTCGATATCCAAAAATGATTTTCAGAAGTATTTCTATGAACAGATGAATCAATGTTTTAAATTTTTTGAGTCTTAATTACCAAGAGAAGACATTCATTATTCTATCACAGAGAATATATAAGCCAAAAAATATCATTCATTGGTATTTTAACTGTGACACAACTTAACAGCATAATATATATGCATATTTTACTTATCTTCAATGAACCAAATTAAATTCGAAGATAAAAAACATTGATAAAAAAAATGGTACTTAAAAAGTATTAATTTAAAAATCCTTTTCTTTTGGTCAGAATTTGTCAATATAAACTAAATTTCAATTGAATATACTCGCAAGCTCTACAACTTTCTAGATTCAACTATACTTCAATTAAAGTTGAACATAACTTAATACATAAGACTAGTTCTTTATTATCAATTTTCTTCGTTTATAAAGCTTTGAAAAGAAAAAACTCTGTTTAATTTTGTCAAAATCTCAACTTTACGTGATGCAGATATAACACAATAGACCTTGATGATAATAACCGAAAGAAAATAATGAAAGAAAACCAAGACATAAACCAAAAGATTTATTTTTATATTACTGTTCTATTATTTTAACTTTAATACATATATACTCACAATAGTATTGAAGTTAAATAGACATATTCATTATGCTACTTATTACAACGGAGCAAACATATTCTTAAAACTAATGCATTTTAGATATGGCACATTCTTCGTCAAGTCAACCGAAGACACCTCGTGATCAAGAAAATCAGTCAAATACAATTTCAGAAAAAGCCGATGACAGTAATAAATTTATATTAACATTTGGTTTTTCAAAATCTAAAAGAAAACTTAAATCAGTGAAGTAATCGTTACAAAATCTTGACGAGTTCGAATATATATTTCTGATTAGATTAAACTCTTCTTCTTAAATTTTCTAATTCGGTTAATTCTTTGCTTATTATTTATTATCATTTTTTGATATTAATTAGCTCAATCAAACAAATCTGCTCAGGATCCGGATCAAAAACCAATTTGTCCACAATTAGGTGCTTGTAAGCTCTTTTTTTTGAATGTCATAAAAACATAAGTTTCCTTCTTTGTTAACAGCAAAATCGCGTCTCTTACCATCTTCAATTAAAGAATCATCTGCTAGCACACGATATGTAGGAGCAACAGCACGACCATTTGATGACTTTGCTCTTCTAGAAACAGATTTTGATGCGCGAAATGAAATACTTATAAGACCAGAAGCACGATCATTTGACGAGATTCTTGTTGGAACAACAGATGCTGATACGAAAGTTGGAACAATTAAAAAATCTGGTGATAATAGTTCGTCATGGAATAATGAAAAAGCATAACATTCATTTATTATACATCGACTGTAAACGATTAATAACAAAAACATTGAATATTTCATTCAATGAATATAACTTATTTGCAATTTTTAATTAACACGCTAAATTTTTGTCCTAAAACAAATTTTTGCATAAAAATAAACTATTTAATATTGTCTCAAACAGAAGAACAAAGATAATTTACTAATTTATGAAGTATCATAATGTTGCAGGTGTTGTAGCAGTCTATGTGTTAAAATCAGGAAAATAAGTAGAACAATAATGTAGACAAAATCAGTATATTCTAAAACGTATTTTATTATTTCTGTATAAAACAAACTCTAGATATCTTTCAGCGCATTTAAATCGCTTCAAATTAAGCTTTTTTTTTCAAATTGCCATGAAGTTTTGTTAAAATTGATCTATTTTGTTCGAGAGTAAAATAGTAGAGGCTCGAGTCTTGAAGTTTACTGCTTCCCTCTCAACTTATAAATATTATCTCTTTCATTTTTAAAATTTAAAAATAACTTTAGTAAACTATTGAGTGTCACCTTCAAAATTGTCCCATGTCCAAGGGAAGAAACAGAGAAATTTGAATAATCCGACATACAAAACTTCACTTGTACTTCAGAGTACTGAAATGTCACTTTTTTTAGCCCTTGTATATATCTCTTTGAATATTTTATATGTGTAAATCTTTTCAAGCAGCTTTTCATAATTACAGCTTAGTTCGTAGAAATTTTATTTATTTATGATAAAGTGCTTTAAATCATGAATTTATCATTGTATTCGAGCAGAGTTTAAAACTTTATGAATTATATAGAAATAAAATTGAATAAAATTTTGGAAGTTGTACTCAATAGTTTTCTAAAGATAAATTTAATTTTACAAATGAAAGAGACAACATTTATTGAATAATAGAGATAAATTTATACAGAATTTCATGGTGATTTAAAACAAATAATTCAAAATGATTAAATCTCTAGACATAAACAAAAAGCAAGAAATACACGTTTTTTATGATCCATTTCACATCAATAACAATTCCTAATGTAAAACTAACTACTTTGATATGTCAATGAGTTGAAAACTACTTAAAAGTGACTATAAAACAATAAATATTTGAAATAAATATAATATGAACATTATATCTGTGTTTTTTAGTGAAAAAATATTATACAAAGTATTTTACTTAAAAATCTTAAAAATAAATTAAATATAATTCCGATTGTGTCATAATCACGTAGACGTAGTCCTATAACGATGAAATGCGAAATATCAGGAAAATTAGTATCATTATGAGACTTGAAATTACTCTTCAAAAGTTTTCTAATACTACTCAACATTTCATAGATTTTAGTTTAATACAAAACCATTTTATGGAATTCACATATCATATTTTGGAAGAAAGCAGTGAACCTAAGTTTAATTCGATATTTATTTCGATTTCCGATGAGATTCGAACAACTGGAGATGATAGATGGAAAATCTAAGATCATCGAGTACGTTTTTCTATCAACGGAAAACATCACGTCAATAAAAACAGTACCTAGATCATTTAGGAGCTTTATAGAATCTTCCAAAGGATTCTATGAAACTTACTTTTTCTGTCATAGTGTCTAAATATTGCGGGTTTCGATGAGAGAAAGGATGGTGTACTCTGAAACTCACTAAATGATTAAATCAATGTGCATAGCAGGCTGATACGATGGTTGAACTGACGAAATGAAGAATAACGCTATATATGTTCGCTTCTTATGGCATGTATTATATATATTATCATTATTCAGTATAATGATGTTAAATAAATGTAATAAATTAGTAGAATAACAATTCTAAATATAAACGTTTTCGAAAGGATAAAATTTCAGAACACGTCTATCAACGATAAAAATGGTTATATTTTTGATTTATTTATTTAATTATTTATTTAGTATTTTTTTTTTAAATAAATTATTTTAATCCACCTGATAATATGCCATGATTTTACAACGGTCAGAGCTTGTGATATTTCACACGTTGGCTTCTCATGGCGTCACATTGGCAAGTATTTTCAAATATACAATTTTTTCTTCATAATAAAGTACTTAAATATTTGTTTATCGTTAGAATTTACTCTGTATCTAAAAATAAATCATCATATTCGATCATCAACATACAATAATAATCATAATGATTAGTAATCAAATGAAATTCAGTATTTTATGTAATATCGAAATTTTGCCATTGATATATCGAATAACCTCGTTCTAGTTTACTAATACTCGATGGTTGCGTTTTTCTAACCTTTCAAGGCCATTCTTTTAGTTAAAATTAACAATCTGATTGACGTCAAACTGATGCTATTTAGAAGATTTTATCATTTCCTAAGGATACGCAATTGAAAAACAAAAAAAGCATATTCTCACATATGGTAAATCAAGGTAAAGTCGATGGCGTATGCAAAAATATTTTTTCTTTTGATTACTATCTTGTCCACATAAATCATGCTCGTACTTTTTTGTATCACTGACTCAAACCACATATGATCAATAGTTTTTTTCTCCTTTTTTTTTGATACAAAAACAGAATGTTTATACGTCGTTCGAAATACTGGAAATAAATAGAACAAGGGAAAATGCGTCAGTAATTTCTCAAACGCACATGTAAACAACGCAATTTAATTACTATCTGATGTATACCCAACCTATATAAAAATATCGCCCAAAGTCTACATCAAACACACCATTTCTTTCTTACTGGCTGTGATTTAGTTTACATCAAACGAACAATGTCCTATTTTCCAATTCAACATTATCGTTTATTCAATGATCCATTCGATCGATTCTTTGGTGATCAATTGAATTTTTTTGATCCATGGCGTGATTTTGATACATTTCCAACGGCTTTATCAGGCTTTCCAAGTCCATTTCGATGGATTCATCAACCACATCGAATGGCTCGGAAATCAGCAGCATCATCATCATTTTATACAACATCAAATAATCTTGCTAGTGGTAACACTCTTCTTCCTGTTACAAGTAGTATTATACCGGTTCAATCCGAAAAATTTCGTGTTCAATTGAATGTAGCTGGTTTTAATCCAGATACAATAAGAACAAAAATTGAAGGTCGAAAAGCAATTGTCGAAGCTAAACAAGATGATCGCCAAGCTAATGGTGATTTTAGTGTCCGAGAAATTCGAAAAACGTATGATCTTCCTGAAAATGCTGGTAAGGAATAAGTTTTTTCTTATGAAACTACAACTATTTAGATATTGATTTAAATAGATTCAAGCAATTTTGCTTCATTTGTTACTCCAAATAATATGCTTGTCATTGAAGTACCTATTAATGTTCCTCAAATAGAACTTCGCCCATCTCAAACACTGGCTGATTCTCAAACTCTTTCGTTATTTGGTCAATATCGTGATCCTATTTTTGATTATCCAGGTTTTATGGCTTCATCGGAATTCCGTCCACGCATTATTGATATAGGTAATGGACAAAAACAAATTAAACTATCTTTAGCAGTAAAAAATTATCGACCTGAACAAATCAAAGTTTCAGTTAAAAATAATGAATTGCTTGTACAAGCTGAGCATAATTATAATGATAATAATCGTTCAGAACGATCATTTTTAACGAAATCTATTATGTTACCACCTGGTGCACAAGTTGATCAATTACGATCATTTTTAAATCCTGATGGACAATTGGAAATTGAAGCACCATTTATTGAACCTACACAGATGCGTTCAATTGAAGTTCAATATGCATAAACAATGATATAAGAGTTCTTTTTCTTTTCTTTTTTTTTATAATATCTTCCGCTTATTCAAATAAATAAAGTCGAAATGACATAAACAATTCTTCATGTATATTTGATGATCGTATAGCAAATATTTTATAACATAGAACTGATTGAAATAGTTAATCTATATCGAAAATATTCTCTCAGATTTTACTTCTTATTTTAAAGACTTACATTATATCATAGACGACAACCATACGGCTGAATTGCAATAGAGCGCTGTTGTTTGTGTATAAATCAAGTATTTTCTCAACTGTCAATTTTTAAGTCTTCGAAAAACAAAATTCTAAACGAAATTTTATAGAATATTCTCAGATATCAATCAAAAGAATTTGAAAAGAAAAATTTAATAAGCATGTACGTTATTCAGACATATTCATGCATATATTTATAAGTGTGATGGTAGCATCCTAGCACTGTAGCCATTACTCTACTCTCAAACCTCTCGAACATTCAAAGAATTAAGAATTCTCAGTAAATATCTGAAAATGTCTCGCAAGCCGAGAAGAGTCAACTAGAATCAAAGAAAGTGAAAATAAACACGATAAAAAATGTCATTGACTGATCTCTTATATTTATCAAGAAATAAAAGAAATAAAATCAAAAATATGTCGACTCATTTAATCAAAAATAACTACTTGATTCGCTTATATTTTGTATTTTATCTGACCAGGAAGATTCGTGTATGTTCTTAAATCGGTTTTAGTAGATCAGATTTAATCTGTCGGAAGAGAATCAAATCGTGAAAGTAAATGCATAGATAGTTTTTGCAAGATTTAGTGAGTAAATTCTCTATTAATATGGTAAGAAAGAGGAAACTTTTAGCTACAAAATAAGTATAAAAATTATTTTTATCTAATCGAAATGTCGAGAGAGTAATGTAACTTTTATAAACAGATGACGCCGAAGATCACTGATTTTGAACTTTATTGTTCAATACTCAAAAGCAATAGCAGATAAAAAGAAGATTTAAAGCTTTTACTCTAAGTAGAGTAGGAGCTAAGAAGTATGTAAAAAAGTTTATTCAAACTTAATCAGTAGAAATTGAGTTATAAATGTGTTCATCTTCGGAATGAAATTCATCCATATGTATTGTTCGTCTGCATTACTTTAAAATATAAGAGAAATTTGCCAAAGCTTATAAGAAATCTATCATTACAAGATTATTCATTGAAAAGTTACAAATGAATAAATATATTAACTGACCTTCAATAGAATGGGACATAAAAAACAATGATTTATTATCAATTGGAATATTTTTCTAGATCGAATCGTTCGCTTAGTTTTGTTTTTTGTTCTTATTCGTTTAAAGTATCAAACAATAGAATTTTATCATTTTAAATATTAGATCATATTTGAAAATTGATAATATAATGTAATATCTTGACCACTATCAGAACTTGATTATCTATTGATTAAGAAAAAAAGAGATTAAAAAATCATCATAGAACAATTTTGTAATAAATAATAATTATTTAAACAATAAACTATTCAAAATCATTAGATTTCACAAAATTTTCTTATTCTCAAAAGATCGCATCATTTCGAAGATCATTCGATTGAAATATATATAATTATATTGCTCTATCAGACTGATGATAACTCTTGAAATAAACAGAATGAAATCATAATATTGAAATGGCAATTTCTTAATTGATTGAATAAATAATCGAGCTTATATTCGTAACAATCAATAGTATTTTCTTTGTTAATACTTTAATCATCGATGAAAAACACAGTGATCTTCATTTGCAACATCCGTCTCTTCTATTCGAACGAGAGAAAAATTATATTTCTCCATAAATTGTAATATTTTATTTGAAATGACAAACAGACCTGTTGATGAATCTGAATGTATTGCTTGAAATCAGAAAGGAATATTTGAGAAGATTTCTTCGTTAGCATTATAATCAAATTCAATGGTTCCACCATTTCAAAGATATGAAAAAGAACCTTTCGTCTCTCTAAAGATAGCTGCTCAACCACTGGTATCAAACGTTTCTAATATTAAATAGATGCTTTAGGAAGCCAAATAACATTGTGATTAACTAGCAAATTGTCAATTATAAGATAAATCAACATGAATTATGCATTACATATTATAATGAACACAAAGACAATCTTCATTTCATAATGAAGTTAATAAAGCTCGTCGGTCACAAGATCAATATAATTTAATTCCATCGTTTTTATGTCTTTGACTTTCGATTTAACTCTATCGAAAATTGAGTTCAGTTGATATTCTGTTCTATTTCAAAGAATGAAAACGAATCTGAATGAAGATTATTCCATATTAAAAATGTTTGTTTAGTGAGACTTTCTATCTTCCACGCTATCAATCGAAATTCTAGAAAATCTTCGATAGAGTAGTGTTTCTTATAACATATGATTCAATCAAAAATATTTACCGAAATTGTTTTGAGTGAACTGAAAAAGAAATTTCATGTTTTCTCACACGCTAATTTCAAGTCATTTTATGTTTTTTTTAAGAATCAACTTCAACTTATTCAAGAGAAACTCATCCATCGTAACTCTTTATTTACATTTTACACATATCTTCAAGTGAACCAGGTACTTCAATTGTTGCTATAGCTTTGAGTAATAATATTACTATCAAAACATTGACTTCTTCGTATAACTATTCGTGCGACTAGATTATTCGTCATTTGGGAAAAGTATTTTTACGCAATAGATGAATTCTTAAAAATGTTGAACTTTTCTCGGTTCGTTCAACAGATGCAGGTGCAGAACATGTTGCTGAAATACTGATGAAAGATGTAATTTGAACGAGACTGGCTCCAGCTAACACTGAAATATGAAACAAAGGAGTTCGACTTGGTATAATTAATTACATCTGTAACACTGCAACAATTTAGCCAGTCACCTCAGTTCCATGTTATTCTATCACAGTAGAAAAAAATTATATTTTTCAATGAAGAAATAATGCACCTTTGCATGTGCTATATGAACGAGGTCTAGTTCTTTTTTCTTTCTAGCAATGTGGCCATCAAATTCATCCCTCAGTTGGAAAGAAAAAACAAATGAAAACAGAGAACAGAAAAAAAAACGATAAAGAAGAAAAAAAAGGAAAAGAGCTGAAAACTCAACGATCAAACACGAATATATTCAAGATAACTCTTCAATTTTCTACTTTTCCATTATCAGCATTATAAATATGTGTGTATGCATGCTTTCGAAACATGTAATTCAACAATCAAGTTCGACTATAACAATCTTTCTCAACAATCACTTCTTCAGCTCAAACAATGACATTCTTTCCAATATATCACTATCGTCTTTACGATAATCCAATTGATCGATACTTTGATGATCAACTTGATTTCTTTGATCCATGGCATGATTTAAATACATCACAACCAGTTATCGTCATAGTTCCAAATGCTTTTTGATGGTTTAATGAACCACAACGATCAATACATGCATCAGCTCATGGACAAACTAGTGACAAAAATGCTAATAAGATGTCAGGAGGACCTAATTTGGAAAAATTTCCTGTTCATCTTAATGTAGCCGGATTCAATTCAGAAACAATTAAAACAAAAGTTGAAGGTGGAAAAGTTATTATCGAAGCTAAACAAGAAGAACGTCAAGCTGATGGTGATTACAATATTCGAGAATTACGAAAATCATATGCATTACCTGAGCATGCGCTGGTAAGTAAGAACTTATTTTATAGAAAACTTTAATACACATCTTTTTATTTGTATAGATGCAAATCATTTAGCATCATATATAAAACCAAATAAGATGTTAGTTATTGAAATTCCTATTCATAATCCTGAAGCAGAACGTTGAGTTGCTCAAGCAAAGAGTGAAAATCAAAATTTAGCTCAATTTGGTCAACATCGAGATCCACTTTTTGATTATAGTAGCTTCTTACATGGTTCAGATTTTCAACCATGAATTGTTGATAAAGATGATAATAAAAAACAACTTGAAATGTCTATTGAAATGAAAACTTATAAGCCAGAAGAAATCAAAGTATCAGTAAAGAATAATGAATCAATTGTCAAAGGTGAACGTCGACATAAAGATGACAATAATTTTGAACGATCATTCTTATTCAAATCAACAACATTACCACGAGGTACACAAATTAAACAACTTCAATCACATTTAACTGATGATGATCAATTGAAAATAGAAGCACCATATGTTGAACAAAAAGAAGCTGCAAAATCGGTTGAAGAACAGAAAAAATAAACTTTTAGTATCTTTTTATTTATTTTATATATAGTTTTAGTTTTTTCTGTGTTTATTAGATAATAAAAAATGACAAAAGAAACTCATTATTCTTATGAGTGCACTGTTTTATAGCTAAATAATAGGGGACAATAATTAGACAAATAATTACTTAAATGGAAAAGGTTGTGTGTATAACTTGAAATCAAATACAAGATTTATAAGAGTTATTTTAGCGTTTTCAACTCTCTGTATAATCAACAATAACTTTGAAGAATCAATATTACATGTGACTTGGAACCTGTTAACTTACGAAGAGATTGGCATTTTATCTATTCCTTTTGGTTAATTGATAAGTTTTTCCTTTTTCTAAAGGAATGTGTGAAATAATTTTACTTCTAAATTTGCAAGATATGAATGAAAGAATTTTAGAAGAAAATCAAAATCTCAATTCAAAGAGTAATTTTTAACCTTTTCACTCATTAGTCTTATATGGTGGTCGACAAGATTTTCCGTACGACTTCCAAACCAAATAATTTTTCTCTGAAAATATTCAGAAAAAAAAAACAGAATCTATTTCGACGGATAGAAGAAAACAAGGACTTTCTACGAAACAACTTAGCTTCTTTATGGTAGATATGAGATGAGATATTGATGAATTATTTATTTTNTATTTATCTCGGCGTTTCCATGAAGAAAGTTTTTTTTGGAACTAGGACATCAAATCATTCGAGCAATGTTCTCAAAACAGCGACAATCTTCAAATGTCATGTTCAAGAATCTGGTCCTAACGATTTCATGCCGTAGTTCCAAAAATATGTCTTCACATAAATACAAAGACAGAGAGTTGACACGTATATCATCTCATATGTATCATAAAATAGGCGAATCGCTTTGTACCAATCATTGCTTTGAAATGTTTCAATTTATCAAAATGTAGCCCATGTTCTCTTTTATCCATCCATGTGAATTCTGTTGGTTGTTCCAAACATTTTCAGGGAAAAATAATTTGATTTGAACATCATACGAAAAAGTGATTGTCTCGGATTGTTGTTATAAGTTCAGTTTAGGTACGACTCAAAATTCTAAATTGAATTTTTCTATATGGATATACTACAGACAATGACTGTATTATTATCAAAAATCATGTATCAAAATACAGCTTTTTAATGGATTAACACTTAAAACAAAATCGTGCGAAAAATGTTGTCCATCATTGTATAACTGACGCATTACTACCAGTTAAACATCGTACAGACTCATGCTAGAAAATTGAAGGATTCTGCCAAAACGAACTCGCTTACAGTAGTTAGCTCAAAAATCTGCGCGCGAATGGGACATTAATATTGGCTATGATTTGAGTGATCAGTAAAATGGATCAAATGATTAGTACATTAGAATATTATAAAATCAGTAAATGGAACGGTTGATTAGTAAATAGAATGATTGATCAGTAAAATATTTCAATGATCAGTTATTAATTAATAAGATTTGTAAATAAATTTGAGAATCAGTAAATATAATTATTTAACAGTAAATTAAATAAAAAGATTAGTATAGAAATTCGAATGTACTAGAGTGTGATTCATCTTTTACCTTTTTTTTGTTCTTTGACTATGTCGTACAGATAACAATTACGACATATATGACTATATATGCATACTCTTTGTTTCTACCCTATCTCTCATCATCAGCTGTGTAAGCAAGCAAAAAAGATGGAAGTGGTACAGGTTGCACAATATGAAAGTGATTTATCAGATGAAGTTGTTGCAGAAAATAATGGTTGAAATCAAAATGAAAAAGTCAAGAAGAAGAAAAGATGTAGGCATTGGGCTAAAGAAGCTACATTTGATAATGCTGAGAAAACAGAGGCATCAATTGAAAATATCTGGTCAAAACAGTATACAAATTATACAGAAGATGGATGAAGAGTTTCTTACAGATGCAACAAAGCTAAATTTCGTGGACTTCAATGTGGTGCAAGTATTCATCTGTTATATCATGCAGACAGTGATCAAGTGACTGTTTATAAAACTGAAGATGAACACGATCATCATGATGAAAAAGTTCGTGGTATTGAGGAACAATGTTAACAAGTGCATTGAAGAATTATATAATGATGGTATCATGAAGCCAAAGTAAATTATTCGAGCATTTCAAACAAGAAAATTTCCAATGCAGAAAAAAGAAATATGGTTCACATAAAATAAGTTTAGATAAATTAGAACAATGGTGTGAAGGTAATGTAGATGTTACAATTGATGAAAATAAAGCTTTTCTTGTATCATACAAAATTATATGATAATGAAGATGATAAAAATATCGAAGAAGATGATGGAAATAAACTTCCGCATATTTATATCATCTGTTCGTTTATTGAACATTGCGTCAATATCGTGACATTTACATGCCGATGCTACGTATAAATTAGTTTGACAAGGTTTCCTGTTTTAATTGTTGGTACTACTGATTTTAACAAAGTATTTCACCCATTTGGTTTAGCAATATGTTCAAATGAAAAAACTAAAGATTTTGAATTTACCTTCAACAATATTCAAGTTGATATGCAAAAAATTAATAAAGATTTACTAAAACCAACAACATTGATACCTGATGCTGCTGATGCAATTAAAAATAGTTTTACAAATATATTCGCTTCTTCCTATAATCAAATAATGTGTTGGACACATACGAAAAGAAAAGTTGACAATCGTGGATGTCAAATAGATGACAAACATATTGCAAAAGAAATAATAGAAGATATTGAAATGCTTAATTTTTCTAATAATACAGAAGTATTCAGATTAGCATCAACATTATTTATAAAGAAATGGAATATGGACAACAAACAAAAAAATTAATCAATATTAGATTTTATAAATTATTTTCATAATGAATGGCTCAAAACAAATGATGGTTGGTATGAAGGTATACAAGTTTATTCACCGAGCACAAATAATGCTTTAGAAGTAACCATCAGAACAATTAAAGATGATGGAACATTCAGAGAACGTCATGTTTTATCAAGATTTTTGACAATAGCTTCAAATATTGTCAATAATTGGTCCATTGAACGAGATATCACATCAATCAATGAAAACATATTTGCTACTGAACCAACAACATCTTTAGAATTATGGACTTTATCTTATCAATGAACTGAATCAACAAAAGATATAATTTGTATTTCCAATGACTCTTCAAAAACATATTATATACCGGCTCGTGATTTACAATCAATATCTCAAGCCATAGTTTAAATAAATATGAAAATAAAACATGGTCAACATTTAATCAATTCACAAAATCATTTGATAATTGATGTATGAAAATGGATAATGGCTTAGATTGGAAAAAATCAGAATGCAACTGTCCAGGGTTTTTTAAGAATTACATATGGAAGCACGTTGTTGGTATGGCTATTCGTTTAAAATATTGTAAATCACCATCATCACTAAAAATAATTCCCATCGGTGAGAAAAGAAAAAAAGGTAGACCAGCTAAGCCTAAACCCCCTTTGCTAGTACAATAATTTAGTTTTCTTTTTTTTTCTCACTCGTTCTTTGGATTTCTATTAAATGTTCTTTCGGATTTTTCCTTATTTATTCAAATTTATTTTTCTCTTACTATGTTACTTGATACTGTTAAAACTTATTTTTCTGCTGATAAAATCTCTATTTTATACTGATCAAATCTGTATTTTTTACTGAAATAAGTTGTATTTTTTACTGTTACTGATATCTAATAAACTGATCATTTTATTATTATTTACTGATAATTTTAGTACTGATCATTTAATCTATTTTACTGATCCAATATTTTGTGCCCATTAATATTCAACTTTACTACTTATTTCGGTCTTCACCATCTCAACTTTTCAAATAGACACTGAACGCATTCTACCTTGAGCAGATATTCTCGGAAACGAAGGCGCACAGCATCTTGCACTTCTCTCACTCTTCATTATCTCCATATTTCACACAGATCCTCACCATACTTAACCTTGGGGACAATAAAATCGAAGAGAAGGGAGCACGATATCTTGCTAATGCTCCCACCAACAACAAGGTAAAAGACTTTCCTCTACTAATTCAACTCCGCACTACCTCAACTTTGCATACAGGCAATTAACACACTCGACCTTGCACGGAATGAGATTGGGGACGACGATGCATATCATCTAGCAAATACTCTCGTCAACAACACAGTAAAACATCAATTTCTGCTCATCTTGGTTTTTATCATCTCGACTTTTCACACAGATTCGCGCCATACTTAATCTTATAGAAAATAAAATCGACGACGAAGGAGTACAGCATCTTGCGAATGCTCTCACGAATAATAGGGTAAAACACCAATTTCTAGTTATCTCACTTCTCACCTTTTCGACTTTTTCCACAGATACTCATCACGTTTGATTTCGGGCTAGATTGAATCGGAGAGAAAGAAGCGCAACATCTTGGAAAGGCTCTTATCAACAACACGATAAAACATCATTTTCTAACAGTCTCGGTCTTTATCATCTTGACTTTTCACACAGACACTCTCCATACTCAACCATTGTAGAAAACTAAATCGTAGTCAAAGGGACACAACATCTTGCTTGTGGTATCATGAACAACAGGGTAAAACACCATTTTCTACTTATCTCGACATTCACCAGCTCGCTTTTGCAAGCAGACACTCATCGCAGTTGACCTTGCAAACAATGATGTCACAGCAAGAGGAAGAAACGCCGTGAGCGAGTGATTGAAGGCAAACAACACACTGAGATTGTTCTAGTAATCACTTGGTATTTCGCTTCGGAACTTTGCCTTCTTATATTTTTGATGAAGCAATATTTTTTTTAAAGAATTTTTCGTTGAAAAAAAATTGCAGTAGCAATTTTGACATGAAATATTTTGATTGTGTGTCCTTGTTGTATGGCAAACTAGTCGGTAGAGGACATTTCACGCGAGTCACTCACAATGGAGGTGTTTGTGTTCTCAATTAAAAATATGGGACATGTTCGAATCAAATGAGAGCTCTCATCACCAAACTAACAAGATTGAAATATTAGCAGTCCTTGACTTGTCTAGATGGAGATATTCGATTTTTACGGCATTCGCAATTTGGGTATATAGAAATATTAGGATTATATAGATTCATTTTTTATGCAATCAAGTGAGTATTTCAATAGTATAGACTTCAAGAATCTTTCTGCAATTTATCAACATCGTTAAGATCATATTAGTTTCGATGTCTTCTAGAACTTAAGTAGTATCGAAACGAAAAAAAGAGATATATGACGTATTTGAAAACCGACTTGTACGTTCAATATTTGATCTTAAAGTGAGTCGATGCACGCGGCTTGGTGGTCTAGAGTCTAGGCTATGATATATATATGAGTATCTTCTAACAACATTGGCTTCAACTCTCATATAGCTTCTATATTAATATTGTTTGCTTTGAGCTGGCATAAGCCTTATTGATGAATTTGCAAAACTCCATTTACCTATCCCACAATTTCATTGCCCCAAGTGGGTTAAAGAACAGTTTTGTAGAGTTTATCTCTTTCGAATACCTCATGAGGATTGTACCCAATAAGAAAAACCGATCAGGACCTTTTGATACTAAGGAAATTTTTGTAGCGTAGGTTGCTTATCTTGTTGATCGTCTCGTAAGTCGAATTCTGAGTATTTCATGAGAACAGTCAACAGATTTTATTTAGTAAAATGGAATAAAATAAGTAAAAACTGTATGAGAACAAAATAAGACATTACTCAATTGAAACTGGAAGTGTAAGGAGCAGTCCTTTTCAAAATCATATTGTTTTCAGTTTATTATTGTATTGTAATATTTTCTTTACTGTAAAAGGTGATTGCTTTCGAGGGTCTCACGTAAACTCCTCGTCGATCATAGTCACCAAATCAAATTGCCACCAATTTCCAATTTCTTCGATACCACACTTCTCGCGAGCTAGGTTGAATCCTGAACCAATCATCACTACTATTACTGTCAGAATATTTAGACAAAACGCCGAAATAGCTGAGCCAGTTGCGTTGATCACTGTTATGCTCATGATTTATCTACCAAAGCAAATAATATATAAATGCATCATGAATAAGTGTAATAAATATGTGAGTAGATCATTAAGAAGTCGTACTGTCATCTATGACAAGGCTCATAGTTTAGCTCTACCGTATTCTACATAAACCGTACCCAAACTTCAGTTTTCGGTTCCATTAGATACTCAAGAAGGATCAGAAAGAGTTATTCTACATGACCGAAGTCAGGAATGCAGGCCGATCCAGGAACTGACAATCTTCAACTTCACTCGTTTCTACTTGAAAGAGAAGTGCGTAATGGAGAAGTGAATGTAGAACCATTAAAGAAAAAAATAGAAGAGTTACTAGAAAGAGTTTCGAAGATCTAAAAAAGGAAAGAACAGATAGCCTACGATCTAAACCAAAACAATATGTTAGAATGATAAATTCTTACAGTTTAAAAAACCTATTATGAATCTTTGAACAATTTAGGACAGTAGTAAAAATGCATTTTTCGCTTATGAGTCGAGAAGTTTATTAGCTCATGGAGTCATTCATTCTACATTTGCAGTACTCTTTATGAACATCCGAGAGAATGCCTTCACGTTATCGCTGTCATCTATCGTTCCACTTAAATCTTGATTCTACTAGAAAAAGTGCAAAAGACTTGTGATTTCTGGACAGCTTGTCTCCTATAGACGTGGTATTTTAATTTTGAAAATGCTTCTATTTTAAAGTAAAGTTAAAATTCCATCCATAGCTCGACCATAGTTTCGATTTCGTGTCACTATCGTCTTCAAGAAGAAACGTTCGGATTCGCAACAAAACTGAACATGAAAGATTATGCACAGGAACTGAATACAATTAGAATAAATAAAGAAGAGTTATTTACTTGTTTGATTAACGAATGAAAATGATATACAACCGTTGCAAGTAACAGTGTATTTATAGACTTGCTAAGAGAGCGAGAGACAAAGGGAGCGAAAAAAAGAGTGTAGTTTTTTATCGTGAAACCACGTTGCCTTGCACTAAAAACATTCAAAGTGCAGCGTAGGTGAAGTTATCACTAGATCCAAGTTTTTCCAGTCCTGATTCACCCAGCAACTTGTTCCAAATTTCTTATGCTTGTTCCAAGTAGAACTGGACAAGCTCTATCCAAATATATGCTCAGATTTTCCACAACTCAAACCAGTCGCGTGCAAAATCGATTTTTCCATTTTTTTCTTACGAAGTTCAGGGACTCAGAAAAGTATTTCTATTCCAGATTGGGTCAGGAAGTTGTTCCAAGTAGAACGTGACGAGCTCTATCTATTGGTGTAATCAGATCTTCCATGACTGAAATCGGTCGCTTACGAAATCGATTTTCTAATTTTTTCTGTATGAGATCTACGCACCCTACAAAGTATTTCCAACCTGGATTTTCCCAGGAGCTTGATCCAAATCTTCAATTCGTATTCCAAGTAAAACTCGACGAGCTCTATCCAACGGTATACTCAGATTTGCCACAGCCCAAAGTATGATTTTTGGGACCATAGATGGCACTGTACAAAGCCTGAAAATTATAGTTCGCGTTATGGAAGATCTGAGCATACTATTGGGTAGAGCTCGTCGATTTATACTTGGAGCAATAATGGGAGAGTTGGAACAAGTTCTTGGGCGAATCCGGGCTGGAAATACTCGAATCTGGTGATAAATTCACCTACGTCAAGGTCGAAGTCATTTTCTCTTAAGATTTATTGGAGAGATACCATCCAGATCATGACTTTTGTTTTCACCCATATTTTGCGCGCAAGTAGGGTGCCACTAGAGCAGAGCAATCTTGAAAAGATTCTTGTTTTTCATTGAGTTATCGTCGAGGTAGCCAGCTTTCAAAATGGAAGATTCTTGTTATATAACATAAAGAAGTATTTTTTGCTAAAACAATGGAGAAGATGTTGGATTTGACAACTTGCTATTGACTGGCATTCAATGAAAAAAACTATTCTTTGGAAGCTGTGCTAGTTTAATGGTCCGCAATCATAGGCAAAATATAAAAGAAAAACAATATAATGACTTACACGATCTGGGTCTCTAATAGTTCATGTGCATATCATTCATTTTTGATTGATACTAAAAGAAGTTCATGGCAAAGGTTCTTTCGGAAAGCAGTAGAACATTCGTAGATGTATTCATATAGACCTAATTATCTAATCTAAGTAGCTGTCCCTATCTAAAAGCAATCAAGACAACCCTAGGAAATTAAGATATTTTTTGTTTAAAATATACGATCTTTTATGACCGAGACGGAGACACGTGCTTCGGACAAGTTACAATTGTGCACATATCAATCAAATATTTTCAGAAGTATTTGGCAAGCTACACGGTTTTCAAGTAATTGCAATAAATCACCATTCTTGTTCAGTACTTAACAAATACTTTTGAAAATTTGTATTACATCCAAACATGCATCGACTAGGATTCGGTCTATGTCTCATCATTTGCTTCAAAATTCATCTTTTTTTTTGTTGAAGTTCAATTCTGAATCAAAATACATTAAATTCATTCGATAGACTCAAGCCGAAAGCATTTTTTTCACATTATTCAGCAGAAAAAGAAATATCGAAATCTTCGATTATTCATCCTTTCCGTTGCTAATTCATCACCCTATGTCTTGTATATAAAGAATAATAAAAGCAAGCATTTTTCTTTTACTCAATGTGTTGCCATTCTATACACATTTCATTGCTGCTTCAAGTAGACACTGCTCCATGCACGTTTCTCTTTCATTATTCTTCTGAGAGTGAAAACGATTGTCAGGGACTCATTTTCATTTGCTGTAGCTTCTGGGTTGTCTGTCAGAGCATTTCTGAAAATCAGATACACTTGTGAGATACGAGTGTGAGTGTGCAAACTTGAGTTCTGATTGCATTCTTAACTCTTGATTGCACAAGTTGAAATGCAAGAAAACGAAAATAGAAAAAGACTCGGGTTTCATGAAAGACCAAGATGTCGAGGCAGCTAATACTAATAATTACACATAACTGTTGCATAAAAAATTTTGTGTACTAATTGGTATAACCATGAGAGATGTACTCGAAGTACCTGCTTTTTTGCGTTGCGGTATTCAGTTTTCAGGTGCCAGCCACAAAAGAGAACTTATGGTTTTATATTGCTGTTATCTCGAAAACGAAAAGCGCTAAAATCTGAAAATTTTATGATAAAGTAGTAACTGCATCATCAGTGAATCATTCTGGACTTTTCAGAGCTTTAACTTATTTCTGTAGTTCATAATAGATTTCTGACAAAATTCAACTGTTGATAATGACAATTTTTATCTGGATTACTTATTCCGTTTGTACTCATTTTATTATAAAAATGTCAAATTTGTGACAGCAATAAGCTTCAACGGAATGTTCGAGATAGAATAGCTTACGGCAATGATTGTATTGAATAGAAGTCAAACTTCGTCGCAAGAGTGCATGTGAATCTACTTGTCAATGATTTCTCTTCACACATTCACACCACGATGGACTTCATTCTGTCAAAGTCTACCTTCCATTGTCGTACACATAACACAAATCGTCATGCAGTCACCCAAATTCAAATCAAAACACAGATTGTTGATAGTAACGAAGCATCAAATAATACTTTTCATTCTGTAGCAAAAGCTTTTTCTTTGGACTTCGTAAGCGTATAACAAAAAAAAGATACGCTGATGTGAGCTATTCGGCGGCAATACATATTAGCATCGTGAAATGTGAGTATCCGACTTTGGTATAATTTGCAAGAAATAGATCGTGATCATAGCTTCGTGCGTCATGCGAACAAATAAATAAATAATTTTTACGACTGAATCCAATCTATTAGTGTCGAAGAGTTGTAAACATTCGTTTACAGATGAGACATTAAAAGTAAGAGACAGAGAATTTTCATTTCTTTCAAAGCTCACATGCCAACTACATAGATATGTCCTGATGGTTTCTATCAATTATTTACGATGCGTCGGTTATTCACGTCTCGAATTATTCGATTGATTTAATATCTTCTCATCGATAACAGCGCATTTGACGACAATCAATTCTTCGAACTTATCATGGATAAATTTGATATCCCCTCACAATTGACTCTTGACAAATTCTGAATCGGGCACAAAAAAGTCGATTCAGTGAATACTCCTCAACATTCTTTATAAAGATACATTTGCGCAAGAACTATGGAACATTTACGATCATATGATTGATAATCTCTTTCGATCAAAGAATTCAATCAAGGGCTGACTTAGTGCATTTGCAAAACTTGTGTCAATCGTTTATGAGATAATTGCAAACTTCACTGGAAAAGTCATTGTAGACAATCCTAATTTCACGCCAACATTGCTCAAACTTGCCAAGGACATAAGTCGAATCCAAAACAAAAGCAGCAAATCGAAAAATCCACAATCAAATCAAACGATTGGTGGATAATTACGATAGAAATGATTTGATTCAGTATGTGAACGGTTCACTCGCGAATGTTTCTGTGTAAAATAGAAACTGTCTCTTCACTTCTGTTTTGTTTCTTTCTTACTTCTGTCTGTTATTATTTAATTAGCAAAAAGTGAGAGAGAATAAAATGTTTGAAAGAGATGTGTGCCTGCTATGACGTTATACCTCGCAACTTGTTATTATTCGTCCACTTGTTCTAATTAATTGTATATGCAATCAACACTCTAGAACGTTTTATGCGGTCACTCTCGTTGCATGTTGTTCAATCACAGTAGAAAAAAATGCATCTTGACATGTGCTATATGAATAAGGGCTAGTTCTTTTTTCTTTCTAGCAATGTGGCCATCAAATTCATCACTCAGTTGGAAAGAAAAAACAAATGAAAACAGAGAACAGAAAAAAAACAATAAAGAAGAAAAAAAAGAAAAAGAGCTGAAAACTCAACGATCAAACACGAATATATTCAAGATAACTCTTCAATTTTCTACTTTTTCATTATCAGCATTATAAATATGTGTGTATGCATGCTTTCGAAACATGTAATTCAACAATCAAGTTCGACTATAACAATCTTTCTCAACAATCACTTCTTCAGCTCAAACAATGACATTCTTTCCAATATATCACTATCGTCTTTACGATAATCCAATTGATCGATACTTTGATGATCAACTTGATTTCTTTGATCCATGNGGGGTCGGGGGGTTTGGGGGCGGGGGGGTGGGGTGGGGGGGGTGGTGGAGCCGCAAAATCTCGAACTTAAAACTTACACTCACTATTTTCTTCGAAAATATACGTGAGTTCTACAAAATTAATCATATGTATGCAGTCTGAAACTGTTACTTCTACTCTATTGATTTATAAGAAAAGTTTTCATTTTGAAAAAATAATTATTCTTTTTATGCTAAGCATTTTCTAATGAGCAAATGTTTCTGAACTGAGATACAGATTTTCTAAAAATCTTAGTTTTTCGCAATCTCTTTGTTACAAAAGTACTTGGAAAGAAAAATAAAGATATATTTAGACTGCACTAAATAAAGTACCATTTTTTCATAGAAATTTAGAGTAACCTTATTTTTGAGTACAAGAAGTTAATGTTTCTATGAAATAAATTCGTATTTTACAAAAAATAAGTCATGTTTATCTGCTCAATATGAATTGCCCATTGTGTAATATTATGCAATAGAAACAAAATCTTTAAACTATTACTACATTTTGACTTTTGGAAAAAAAAACATCAATGTAAGAAAAATTCTTTTATTCATTCATAAAATTCTCCTTTTTTTGTGTCAGTTGATCATAATTAAAACTAACCTTTATATATCTGTGCCATAGCTGTTTTTTCTCTAGCATTAGCAAGATTAAGTGCAATAAGTTTTATAAATTCATCTTTATATTTTGATAATTGTCCTTTACCAGCAAAATTCTTTACAAATATTTCAATTAATTCAGGTGCTTTTAAAATTGGTGTTAATAAAAGAACTTGTTCGGTTGTATTTCGACATTCATATTTACATTGACAATATTTTTTACAATTATCTAATATTAATTTTTGATTAACACATGATTTATCAATAAAATTATTTTTATAATCATCAATACAACCACGTTCTTGACAATATTTTCTTGAATAGGGTTGTCGTCTTAAACACATTGTTTGATCACGTGTACGATTATATTTTATTATTTTATAATTTGTTATAAATATCATTGATACTGATAGTTTTGTATTATTTTTTGATTGTTGATATTCATTGATAAATTTTTTATCAACAAAATGATCAAATATAAAACGTGTTATATTTTTATAAAAACAAGTATGACGTAAAGCAGTATAAACAGCTTTAGTTTGTTCTTGATAAGTATAATAACCGGGTTGATGTTCTAATACAACACGATTAAGAAATTGATCACTAAATGGTACATCCATATAACCATTTATATAATATGGTAAACATGTATGAAGTATTGAACGAAAATGTTCAACATCATCAGCTGTGATTAATTGACAATCATTTTTTGATGAATATAATGCAACAAATGTTGCTAAGGAAAGACTTGGAATATTATCAAGAGATAAAATATGTTTATATATCTTTTCCCATTTACAAATCGAAAGTAAATGATCAAGAGATAATAAATCATCGGCTGATTGTGTACGTTCTATGTAAAATTCTATCATACCATCACGACCTATAAATGAATTCAGATTTAATTTCGTCAAATTCTCTCATAGAACAAAAGATCAAGCGAATATAAATGCAGAGAACACCAAAAATTATCCTTCGATTTATGGTAATTATATGAAATTCTTTATTTTCTATTTACTGAAAACGGAAAATTGTAGACATTCTAAAACTATTTGTTTTTCTCATTCTATAACATTTCTATTTTTTGTATGAATTTAAACATTATGACAAAGTACAAGAAAGAATGTCGTTCATGAAAAGAAGCTTTCAATACAAATTGAGCAAGACTAAAATAGAAAACATCATAGAACTGTTTTAAATTATTGCTAAGAAACATTTCTCATATTTTATATAACACACAAAAACATAATTCATTATTCGATTCACGCATTGTATAAATTTGTTTACAAAGAATTAAAATCCTTAAAAACTCTATAATGATTTCTCTTGAGTAAATATAAGTGGACAAATTTTTTAAAGAGCTTTAAAAATATTACAGTGTTGCGTGATGTTGTGCGCAACTCAATCCACAAATCATTAAGTAAATAAAATGAACTAAAATTGTAGAGAAAATATACAATAAGTTTTCATGCGAAAAAAAGTGTCACGACAATCTTGTGTATTGATTAGTAAACAACCTGTGTATGTCATGATTTTTATCAACTGTTCTTTTATAAAATTGTTTTCCTATAAAAATAAATTAAGTTTCAAATCATTTCTCTTTCTATACGTTAGAATAAATATTTGTAAAGTTTCATTTACGCAGTGCAAGCACTAGCCTATAAGTCTCATGATCATATTAAATCTGAAAATAACCAATATTATATGAATTCTCCAATAGATCGATTTGTGCAAAAAAAAGGAACGACTTGAATGTCATTATGACTGAAAGAATAAATGTACTATTCTTAGCTTATGATGATTTCCTTACGGAAGTTATCGGTAATGTAAGCAGTAGCTGGTATATCTTCTCAACAACATTCTAATTATTTCAAATGAATGTATACTTATATAGCGCTTCTGGAGTCCAATAACATGTAGGAGGCTTCCAAATCTAGATATTTTTTTGATGGGTCGATCCGACTCGACCTCTAGCTTTATGAGAACATCATCGGTACAACATCACATTGATTGTTAGTATATTTTCCTTTTACAAAATACATTTTTATATGATGGGATCCAATAATTATTTCGATAATTAATAACAACATTGTGTAGAACTTCTTATTTTGGTGATAACGAATTTAACACATGCACACAATTCTTCTACTAGTAACAACAATATGAGAAATAAATTAAAAAATTTATTGAATCGTAAAAGCAATATGCATTCACAAGAAGTCTAATTTCATGAAAACTATCATTCATGAACATGAGCATTTCAGAAATGAATTATTCGCTGATTAATTACAATCAATCAGATAAATTACTATTTGTTGCTGGCATTTTAAATTCTACTCTATTAATAAAACTACTTCACTTTACTAATACTCGTATCACTTAGTGGTATTGACAGTCCCCTTAGTTCTGTATGTATGTCGTGATGATGAGTATCATTGAAATGAAGAAATACGTTATTTTTATTTCTTATTTCAATAAAACTTACAAAAAAATTCGTATCGGGAAGCTTCCTATGTTGTTATCAATAGAAAGTCGTATTAATCTCTCTTAAGAAGAGAAGTCAGCTTTGGATTAAGCGACCCGATAGAATTTAAAATCCATGCAACTTATTAGGAAAAATTACATCGAACGACTCATATCGAGAACTAATCTATACGAACATTTCTTAATTTGTTTTATGAATTTTTTCTTTTCTATGAAATACAGTTACCTGATCGACCACGATATTTTTCTTCAATTAGATAAGCATATGGTCGAAGCATTTCAAAAGGTAGTCGACTTGCTTGATAATTTGTTCGATTAAATTGTGGTAGATTTCTAACAAAATCCACTACAGTAATATTAATCCTATATTGAAAAAAAATACAACAACAACAAAAAAAAAAAAAAATCTTACAGTTTATCATCAACATATTTTGTTATTGAATTATGAATATCAAAATGTCGATCACGATGCCATTGATAAATTAATGCTGATTGTGAATTTTCATCATCATCATGATAATCAAATATTTCATCTTCATCAATATCATTATCATAAAATGATTCATTTAAATTTCGATAGTCATATAATTCATCAGAATTTTTATTTGATTGTTTTTTTCTCCATAAATCATGTTTAGCAAGTATATCAGATCGATAAGAATTTTCATCAAGTTGATCAACAGTTACATTAACAAATTGTGCAAATGCACCAAATAATTCATTTGTATCTAAGGGTATTTCATAAGCCAGACGAAATCTTTCGGATGCGTGACGTAAAACCATTAATTGTGAAAATATTGTTCCTTTTCCACGTGCTCCCCGTCCCTATGACATGCAAAGAATAGTTCATTTCGTACATTTCTTTTTTTTTTTTTGTTTTATTTTTACTGTTTTNGAAATCAGGGGTCTCAGGAAAACCCTTATAACTCTTTAACGGAACAGGCTAGAAAGGTCGGCCTTGTGTAGATCGAAAGACAACATTTTTCTCTATCATATGGTCACTTTCGGATTCAAAATTGATCAGAAAACAAGCCGAATATTTGATGGTGAAAATGGCCAGCGAGGACTCACGCGATTGGTGGATTGCCGACCAATCATATTTTGATCTATATCTACATCCCGTGATGTCCTCTTTCAAATGGTGAAAACCGCAGGTCTCCATCACTTTTCCTTCAAAAATGGATAATAACTATTTTATTATATATATTCAAAGGTCATTGGTGTTCGTCAATTATCACAAAGTCTTCTTCCAGCTATTGTTGAATTAGCTAGTGATGCAAAATGGCGTGTACGTCTAGGTATTATTGAATATATGCCACTTTTAGCTGGACAATTGGTAAGCTATTATGTTTAAATATGTTTTTTTTTTTTTATATTTTGAAAATTTTATTTTATAGGGCCCAGAATTTTTCGACGAAAAACTCAGTAGTCTTTGTATGAGTTGGCTTACTGATCATGTCTTTGCTATACGTGAAGCAGCAACTAATAATTTAAAGAAATTAGTTGAAAAATTTGGTCGTGAATGGGCGCAAAATACAGTCATACCAAAAGTTATACAATTAGCTCGGGATCAAAATTATTTATATCGAATGACTTGTCTATTCGCTATTAATGTACAATGAATTTTTCTTTTATATTTCGAATAAAAATCTTTTTCTTACAGATCTTAGCTGAACCTTGTGGTCAAGAAATCACACAAAGAATGATGTTACCAACTGTCATTACTCTTGCTAGTGATCCCGTAGCTAATGTACGATTTAATGTAGCTAAAACGTTACAACGTATTTATCCAGTACTTGATACAAGGTACATGAAAGAGATTTGTTTTTTTTCTTGTATTTATTTATTTTTTTCTTATTTTTTTTTAGTGCATTAGCAATGCATGTTAAACCTTGCTTAGAAAAATTAAATCAAGATGCTGATCATGATGTTCAATATTTTGCTAATGAAGCTTATGAAAGTAAGTTAAAATAAATGTTTAATTTTTTTTTTCTTTTTTCTTAAACTTTATATTCTTCTAAGAACTACGAACTATTCATCATAGTTATCGTTAAAAGGTTTCTTCTTTGTTTTATTCTTTTTTTTTATTTTTGGAGTTAACATATTTCGATATGTATAATAAGAAAATAAATATTCTTATTGTTATAGAAGTCATTGAAGCTTTATGAAATAATTTGACAGAAACATTTCAATGGTCTGTCATTTTTTATTTGTTTATTTTTCTATGTGTGTATGTAATCCGTGTCTGAGCAATACTTTTCTTGCTTTTAAATACTAATATGTTGTTTTATATGATTTTTAGAATTTATTTATTTATTTATTGTTTCTTTTTCTTTATTTTTAGTTTTGCCCAAAGCTTAATGAAATCAAACATTGGACTTAATCTTTTTTTTTTTTTTATTTGTAATTCTCGTTTTCTTCTTGGTACCACCCTTCAATGTTGTCATATTGCTCGTATTCTTTCTTTCTTTTTTTTTTGCTTCATAAGTTCTATTTAAAATTAGTTTTCTACAAGAAAACATTTACTTTACTTTACTTTATTTTCTCTTTCTTTTCCATAAAAGTGAAAAAAACAACACAGCAAAACATTAGTGTACTTTTTCTTGTCTTCTGATTGAACAACGCATAAATGTATAAAATAAAGAAGAACGAAAACAAAAAAGAAAAGATAATATTAATATTGAAACATAGATCAATCAATTGAAAAAGGTTTGATATTTACTATTATATTAAACAAAGAAACAAAAAAAAAGCAATTTTTCTTTGGTACAGTACTTTTGTTTTTAGGTATTCGAACGATTGAAAGAATTGTCGATTAAACTTGTCGTCGGACAAAAGAGAGAATTCCGGGTTTTGCATTTTGAGGAAGTAAGAAATTTGCTAATAGATATTTTTGTTTGTAAGTCTAGGATAGTAAACGATAAAAATTTGGCAGATAGTAGTACTGCTCAAAATGATTCATTCCGTATGAACTCATATTTGAGGCAAAGATAAAAATCTTCTACAGTAGAATGATCTAAACAAGATTCAAGTTCGTTGTGCCATATAGTTGATGTAAAGAACTGCTAATAAATTTTTTCTATGAAGCTACAACTATGTGCGAAAAATCATAGTTTTGAATTTCAATCTGAAACGTTGCACAAAAAAAGAGACTCACAAGCGAAATACCCCCAACTGATTAATTAACTTTGAGTTCGCAACATGTGCATTATCTAGTCCCTAATGAGTAATAAATACACGGAGAAGAGTTCGAGTTCTTAACCTATTACTAAGGAAATACTGCATTTTTACAGTATTTATTAAAATAATGTCGCCATCTTTCTCAGGAATACTAATTAGAAAAACTTATTTTCGAATTTCCAGTTGAAACTTTGCACAGAGATAGCTCTTTAATAGAATAGTATTTGTTGATGTTGAAACTGACTTCACTTTCGGCTGCCATAATGCTTTTTCATGTTATCGTTAACGCACTGTGGTTTCGCTAAGAAAATTTGGATCGACTTTCTGTGTTTCCGCTTGTTTTTGCTCTTAATTTTCTGCATTCAATGAAGAAACAAGTTGATTCAAGGAGTAAGAGGGATGAAATGTTCTCGGATCGGTCTGAGTTTTGAACATGAAAATAAAACGATGGTTTAGTTGGATCATCTTCGGCAGAATCAATTGAATTTCAGATGAATACAATGCATGTCGTTGATATCAAAATGGATGAAACAAGAAATTGAAAGATTGTGGAGAAAATCACTTGTTTTCGTCAACAGCTCTTGTACAAGAGAGAGTGTGGGTGTTTGAAAAAATCTTTTGTTCATCAGCAAGAACACCCACCATCTACACCCAAGCTTCCGGAGTGAACAATACAGACTTCAATTTTAAAGTCTCTCATGAAGTCTCCTGAAGTCATTATGTAGAGAAAGACATCAACTTAACAAGTCAGAGAAAAGATTAAAATAGGACCAGAACACTAAAAACTTGTTTATTCTGATAACTTTTAGCAATAATGAGTTCAAGTTTTGTCGTTTTTAAGATTCAATATCGAATGGTTTGCATAGAATCCTTCTTTTTGTTAAAACTATATGTGACCTTTTTTCACCGAGAATTTTTTGCAGGAAAATACCGTATTACTTTGTTGTGTTCATTCTAGAGTGTCAAGATCAGGTTCGTTGAAGAATGGCGCCTCAACTCCATCTATTCACTTACAAGCATACTCTCATATGTTTTCATGCACCCACCAACCCAATTCTATCGCTCTATAATTGATTCATATTCTGGAAGATTACCATTCGATTGTAACATTAAGTTAAAAGAAAAGATCTTGTATACTTTTGTTTTCAAATGGTTTCAAACTGTAGTCTGATAAGACAATAGCTGATGAATAAAAGTGATACTTAATTGCAAAAATAGCTAATAATTAGTCAAATGTACTTTTATGGAGGTGAAATTCTATTTTAACGTGACAATTCGACTTGTCTTATCAAGATAAATCGACTATCTGCAGAAGTATCTTTTGAGGTACCTGCAGTGGCGTACGCAGGGGGGGCCGAGGGGGCCCGGGCCCCCCCTTGAGACGAAAAAGTCCTGAAGGGGGGTACAGGAAAAAATATTTTCGCGTGATAAAAAATTTTTTGTGTCATGGCGGGCCCCCCCCTTACGAAGTTGGGCCCCCCCCTTGAAAAATTTCTGCGTACGCCACTGGGTACCTGTAGTCGCCTTCATTTACTTTTTCAAAGGATAAGTCCACTTATCCAAGGTGCGGCTATTTTTTATCGTCTATAACTTTCAATATGAGTTGTTATAGAGCAAGTCGAGTTGTCATATTAAAATAGAATTTTGCCTCTATGAAAATATATTTGACTAATTATTAGATATGTTGCAACTAAACGTCATTTTTTTTCAATAAGCTGTTGTCTAATCAGACTACAGTTTTAAACAATTTGAAAATATTTTTAATATATATTTTTTCTAACTTAATGTAATAATCGAATGTCGACATATATTTTGATCATTAATAATATTGGTTTTAAAAACTCAAAATGTATGCTGCACGCTTTATCTTTCTCAAAAATAACATTTGGATACGAATTAGTTTTTTTAATCAAAAACAAACTACAATAAATTCGACCAATCATAATTGTCGGCAGTGTAGACACGTACGAAGTTTGTCGACAAATTGATGTAACCTGTCTGAATGTGGGTGTGTCTTCTCTACATTTACATGCACCCCACGCCCACATCCTTATGAGGAAAATGAGCGTATACCTTTACATTGAGGAGTAAACAAAGTTTGAGCAATATCAAAGAAAAGCTTTGTATAAATTAAACGAAGAAAAAAAAACAGCAAGAAAAGTATGATTATTATAAGAAAACCATTACGTTAGATATGAAAATGAAATTTTACATAGTTTGGAATAAGTAAAAGCAGTTTCTTTCAATAGAGACGCATATAGCCACTTTGCAAGTTGAACGAAGTCATGGCACCATCATCGTTCTTCATGTCAGAGTCATTGATTTTGGTTTATTATAGTTCTGAAATCCAAAATAAGTGGCACATATTTGTAGCACCGCTCGTTAAAGGGTTAATACAACAGCAGAAAGACGCTTACACTTCCTTTGATACACTTGTACAAGTAAAAAGTGTGTAAGATAGCAATTTCAAGTGTTTTTTTACAAAAAACGCTCTCAGTGAATTTATATCAGCCTGTTTGAGACCTTAGAACCATAGCGTCATACCGACTAACATATGATTTATTGTATGAAAGCTATACCAAAACCGAAATCCAAAATACAACGACCGCTTCTTATAAAAGAGAGACCTTTAAAAGTCAAAAATTCTTCATTTTATGATATCTTCAAATCAATCGATTGTTCCAATTCATATTAATAACACAATAAAATTTGTTTTCTTTTTTACAATAAACACTGAGGATCGAATCTGTTGTTGAATTCAATACATGAGAGCTATGTGCTTGAGGAGTACAATTAGACTAATGACTAACTTGCCAACATAGACGATTTCGTACTATAGCTATGTATAATAATTGTTTACGTTCATCGACTAACTTTATGCGTATTTGAACGTATTTCATAGAATATGGCCGTTTACGATCGTATCTTTTCGATCTGCACTACTATTTGGTACAAGCTCAAATCAGATCTTTTTAAAAATTAAAAAAAATGACAGAGATGATCATTCAGTTTATTAGTTTTTAATTGAAGCGTATGGTATATTTTATTATTTCCCTAAACATAATTCACTTGTGCAAAATTTATCAAGATATTTTTCTAAAATGACTGTTTTCTCATCGAAATCAATATGCTTATTATTTCAAGAAAGCTAATTAAATTTTAAAAGAATGATAAAATTATCAAAAGTTTAAATAAAAAAATAAAATAGCATTGTTCTTTTACATGGTATTTCCAATTCAGATAAATATAAATTAAATTATATCTTGAGATATTTGTTATTAGTATTGCTGAATAGAAAAACATATTATCTTTAACAATTTTATTCAAGAAATCGATGACAAATTATTGATTTTAGTTCTGCTTGACATGACCAAGTAGATTTCATTATTTGCTTTGTTTCCATTTCTTATTATTGTAGGTGCAGAAAATATCATTAAATATCGAGCTGAATCTTTAACTTCATTACAAGCTATTGCTAATCTTCTGAATTTGTAAGTTAAATTCATTTGACCTTCTACATGTTCTATTTATTGTTTCTTTTAAAAATCTGATGATTGATTAGATGATGCAATGCATCAACAAATCATTCTTACATGAAATTGTGATTGAACAAAAATTAATCTAGCTTTAGTACGTAAAGAAGAATTCATCTATAATCATGAATTGACCAAATTAGATTTAAAGCAGTCGACACATTAGAAGAACAAAGGTCCTCTGTTCGGTCGTATCACTCAGAACATAAGAGAGAATCTTCTATGAAATGCCTAGAAAAAAGTCATATTTTTTGATAGTTTCGCTGACTATTCTTAATTTCAATACAGCGTTAGTAAACAAGTATAGTTCACTTATCCCACAAGCATAGGGTAAACTTATTTAAGCCAGTTGAATTATATCTACCACTAGCATAGTTATTAGACCCAAGCTAACTTTAATGAATAAGATTGCCTGCGAAGAGATCTTTTAATTAATATACAACCAGATTTTACTGAATATGTTTCTAATTTAGAAAGACCTCTTCATGTGTAATCCGAATGAAAATCTCAAGATTTTCCTTACTCGGAACTGATGTGTCACAATGACAACGGAAGTTAAATAGGCTACAAAAATTATTTTAAAAACATAATCGATTTTCAGATACAATCTTCTAATGTATTGAAGGCTTTAGAAAATTCAGAAACTCTATCTGATGAATTAGAGTTCGTTAACTTACAGTACAACTAAATAAATAACTCTTGCTGAAATCTATAATCAATGTAGTGAGAATAATAAACTAATTGATTAAGCACAAATAAAAAATATCAAAGATAAGATTCTTTTTTTTCTCTAATTGTATAACATTCTTATCGATAAAAACATATTTTTCTATTATTATCGACAGAATATCATTTTGTTATCGCACAAAACAAGATATTACTGAAGTAATACAGATTGACAAAAGAACAAACAGAAAAAGTGGTAATGATGATATGTGGGTTTATGGTCTCTTGATATGCCATAGGTATTGGCAGCATTTAAGAAGCAAAAATAATATTTGACATACTATCAAATTTATTATCGATAATAGGAAAAGGAAGAATATCAACAACAACAGCCACAACCGAATCAGAAGAAAAAAATAACCATTATGTTATTTCTCTGATTTATTGCTTAGCAGGGTAGAAAAAACCTTGTCTAAAACAAGCATTTATACATATATATCATTGTATTGAAAGGTTATTTATTCCAAGATCGAATAATCATCTATTTGTATTTTCTCGGATTACAACAAAAGAGTAGACAATTATTTTAATAAAAGGTATTTTTTTATTTAAATTATTAATTCTATGTCAATCAAACAGATACATATATATATATGAAATATCTATCTTCAAAGATAAATAGACATTACATTTTACTTTCTCTTTTACCAATAAATTTTTGCATGCATGTTTTTTTTTTCATTGATCGACGAGAAAACATATCCAAATGAAGCATCGCTGTTGACCTAATATTTTGTCTGTATGTAGGCCAAAAAGGAGATCTCCGCACGATTGATGAATTTTCTATCATTGATATATGTATATGCATATATAATAGAATCTTTAGTAATAACTAACATAACAAAGCAATAACAATGCCGACTTATACAATGCTTCATGTTAAAATGCAGCGTGAATCCCATAATGTACCATGGGGATTTCGAATGCAGGGTAAATAAAATGAAATTTCTTAATTGAGGATTTATATGGGTTTTTTTTTAGGTGGAAGAGATTTTGGTTGTCCATTACAAATCCAAAAAGTCAATCCAAATAGTTTAGCTGAACGATATGGAATTCTAGCTGATGATTATATTCTTCGAATTGGTCCAGTATCAACTGAATATCTTCAACATCCAGAAGCTCAGGAACATATTAAACGACAAAATAATATATTGGAATTCATTCTACAACGGTTAGTTGAAATAATAAAACAAATGAAAATAAGAAAAAGTTTTTATTTAATAGAGGTGCCGCACCAACTAGTGCTGATTATAATAGTCGTGTGAATTTCCCATCTCATCAACCAATGCAACCTATACAAAATAATTTTTTACCACAATCTCAATATCAATCACCACCTCATCCTCCTAGCCCACAGGTATTCATATAAATGTCAAGGGTAGCATTTGTATTATCTCAACAATCATTAACTATAATAGTTAAACCATTTCATCAGATAATATCTTGAACACATAAAATGAACGTTCAATATATTCTGTTCATAAAACTTCAATATATTTTGCTCATATCTTTGAAGTCTACATAAATCTAATTTATTTAATAGATTGTTATGCCAATATCAAACAATCGAGTTATATTAAGTCCAGCTTACAATACCCCAATAGGTCTCTATTCTGCTGATAATATAACAGACACAATAGAACGTACACTAAAAAGGTAGAATTCATAAATAAAACTGAGTATATACATTCATATGTATGTAGCTCTAGTTTTTCATCGCCTTATATTAATAATTATCTTAAGCCACTGATTTTCAACAATAATATTAGTTGTGAACACTAATCACGCATGAGAATGTTTGTGTACCTCTCTTCTGTTTATCTATAGACTGTTTTATAATATACTATTTATTTTTCTTTAGTATTAATATAGCTACTGATTACAATACTGAGGAATCGAAAGGGTAATTAAATGTTAACATATAGATAATCTTTTTACAATTCATAAATTTAAGTTTAAATGAATATAAAGCAACACCAGCTAAGTCTATGCCAAAATCATTTTCTCACGATGATTCGCAACAACAAACACAGCCGGTAGTTCATATACCATCTTCAAAACCTACTGGTAAATATTTAAATGACAATTGATATTATTCCTTTATCTTTAATTTGTAGTAACAGAGAAACCATCATTCAATATAGATGCACCGAAAGCACCTGTATTCGGTCTTCGTATATTCAAGAGGGGTAATAAAGGTAGTGCTTCATTGAATCAAAATGACAATACAAGTCAAATTGCTGTATGTTATGCATGTGGAATTCATATACGGTAATGCATTTATAAATATTTGATTTTTTTTTTCTACAAAAAAATTTCATTAGAGGTCCATTTATTTCGGCAATTGATCGTTGCTATTGTGTAGATCATTTTACTTGTTCAAAGTGTTTAATAAATTTAATGGATTGTGGTTTTGTTGAAGAAAATGGAAAATTATATTGTGAACATGATTTTGAACAATATTTTGCACCTCTTTGTGCTAAATGTGATCAAAAAATATTGAAAGTAAAATATTATCTAAATAATATTTTATTTAGTTTTATAATCAAACAAAATAGGAATGTATTCATGCACTTGAAAAAACATGGCATCCTGAATGTTTTATATGTACAGCATGTAAAAAAGCTATTGGCACAGGATCATTTCATGTTGAAGAAGGTCATCCTTATTGCATTGAAGGTAATATTTACTAAAAGTCTGATTGAAATAATAAATCAAATGAAATATATTTGAATTTTTGTAGACTATCAACGAATGTTTCAAGCAAAATGTACTGGTTGCGAGTTTCCTATTGAACCTGGTGATAAGTACTTAGAAGCAATAGGTGGCATATATCATGCTGAATGTTTTAATTGCTCTGTATGTCGTATATATATTTTTTAATTTCAGTTGAAGATTAAAAATAAAATGTACTTTTTTTTTTTTCTTTTGATTCTTATAGTTATGCCAGGTGAGCTTAGATGGTCAACCATTCGTCGTAAAAAATGATCGACCTTATTGTCGTCAACATGGTCGTCCGACGTACGCTCGATTTAGTTAACTTTATTTCTTTTCGATTTCGAATAACATTGTAAAAAAAAAAAAGAAGAAAAAGAAGCTCATAATTACATAAATATATATGCATATGAAATTGATCTTTAATAAACAGAATATTATTAATCCAATATTCGAATTTTTTTTCTTATCAATAGGCAAAAGAAAAACTAGAAGTGAAAGAAAAAAAAAAGAAAGAAATAGAAAGTATCAATCATCAAACGTTGGATTTGAAGTATGTTATAATGCACCTATTCTTTTTCGTTTTCATTCCGTTTTGCGTCTGTATTAATTCATTTTTTTTAAAATGCTTAAGTATCGGTGTGTGTATCAAACTGTTTTTTTTTCATCTTCATCATCATCAACAACAACAAAAACGATCTCTCTATTACGATTTTTCTTTACTTTTTTTCTCGTTTTAATCAAAAAACAAAAAAAAAAAAACGCGAAAAAGAATGAAGAAAAAAAAACCGTTTAACATCAACATTCATTGGTGGTGTTAATAAGTTGTTTTTCACATGGGAACTTTTGTCTAACAATCTCTTCTAGACATGTTGCCTCTCGGTTGGTTACATGTTAATGGTGTTAGTTTGTCAACAGATATTCATCAACAAACATCACACACATCTGATTATCGATCGAAACATGTAACAAGTCCAATTCTACCATCAACTCCACCGATGATATCTTCACCGAATTCAGTTCCTTTTACAACAACAATGATCGATGGACAACAAAATACTAGACAACAATATCACAGATTAGAAAATACAGATCTACCGAAAAGACTTTTTATTGACAGACAAATTCAAAAAGTCAAATCATTACCAGGATTAATTAAGTAAGAAAAAAAAACATCATTTTTGATGTCGTTTTATAAAAACAAAAAAACGATTATTAAGTGCATAGAAAAAGAATTTAACACACCTGTAGAAATGTCAAGTAGATTTCGGTTAGATAAAATATCCTAGAATATAAAGTATATCTTCAACGAAATAACATATAACTTTCTAGATGATAGATAACATTATCACATTTTTATTTATACAGATAAGTTTTGTTTCATGAAAATTTCGAAATTTTGCTAATTCGAGACTCGCCAATTGTTACGAAGCAATATTAATACAGAATATATATATGAGAAGTGAAACTGATATTGTTACTATGTATAAAAACTAAAGCAGCGAAAGCAGAACATGACAATTGTCGAATTGACATTAATTCTTGATAAGAGCTACTTTTTGAACAAGTTTTTTTTCTTATGAATCAAATGTAAAGAATATTAACTCTTTCAGTGCATAGCTAATTAAACTTAATTTGTTGACATTGAAAAACCAACTTTCCACAGAGCTTCTCATATTTCGTAACGAAGTTGTTTGTTTTATTATCATTTTGTGACCTTGCAATAACGACTCTTACGTTTCGGAATTATTTTTGGATTCTTCATTCAGTTACAAGAGAATTTTTCGTTTCTATATTAATACTCATTCACCTACCTAACAACAAATAAATTCAAATTTTAGAACAACTTAAGTATGTTCAGAAAAAAAATTTCGTAGAGATTCTCGAGTCTGAAGTGTCCTCTACAGAATGTATTATTTAGTATTCAAAAACACTGTTTAAACTTGTAGAATGGAAATGCACACAATGAAAACCTATTAAGAAATATAAAGTATAACTTAATATTAATCTAACGACGAAATTTGATTTAGAAACATAATTCCTATTTTTCTCTTCTTTTCTGTTGTAACAAACAAGTTCGCTAATAAGATGAATATCCTACATTTTCTTTCATCTCTTCGTTTTGTACCTAAGCATATATTTTAAGATTTTATTGTATGAAAAATATTTATGATGATTTTTCTTTTTGATTTAATTTGTAAGTCATGAAAGGGTTTTATCTTATCTTATTTAATTAAAATAAACTAAGCGAACAACAGAATTATAGATGTAAATGTACTCGAAGAATCAGACACATGAATCAGCCTAGTTTTTAAAGTAGTTATAATTGACTGAAAAAATTTTGATTTCTTTTAATTACAGACATATTAAAGCAAATAATACAAAAATGAATATCGAAAGATCTTAACAAAAATCATAGTTTTAAATAATTTAATAGATATTGAAGTTATATGAAAGTTTTTTAAAAAACGAACTTTTGAGACACTTCATTCAGTCACAAAGAATACATCTTAACCAACTGAAACATACATTAGCAGTTGAATAAATATTTTTAAATTATATTTTCCAAATAAAAATTTGTTTTATTATTTTTTTTTAGAGGTACCGCTTTATCTCGCCATACATCACTTTATTCGGCACCAAATGGGAATCCAATAGAATCTGATCCATCAACAAATGATAATCATAATTATGCATTACCTGTTGCTATGACTGATAATGATAATGATTCTTCTCCATCACGTCAATATCATGAACAAACAAGTGAAACTCGTCGACCACGAGTATCTTTCTCTGAATTTAATAAGGTACAATTTATTGAAGATCATAATGAATGTTCACAACAACAATCAACACATCGTCGTCATCGACATCGTTCATCAAAAAAAAAACCTGCTATTATTGGTAATAATTATGTTTCACCACCATCCATTCAACATTCTCAAACATTTCATACACCTTATCGACCATCATCTCGTCAACAACCAGTAGGACAAGAATTAAATATTAAAAAACAACTACTATTTCCTTCACCACGTGCACATTCATCTCGTATAACGCACTTACCTGATATACTCAATCAATCATTACCAAATGAAACTTCTATACATGAAAAATATGTTCTTCAACGTGAAAAAGGTCCACTTCGATTTCCTGAACCAGCCATTGAAATACCTATAAATTCTTCTGCTGAAATGTCTCGTGAAAGTACTCGAGCAGGTGGTATACGTTCATCAGCATTACAAGATTATTATGATCCAAATAATAAATTTGAGATTGTTGATGGTGGTGGTAATTCATTTCTTAATAGTAGTTCAATGTCTTCTTCATCACCTAGTCGACAACGTACACTTCGTACAATATCACTTCGACATCAATTTAATTCACCTATTAAATTAAAAACAACAACTATTTCAAATAATCAACAAATAATAACAAATCCACGTCGATCAGCTTCACTTAGACATTTAACTACACGTTTTCATTCAGTTGATGATGATCATGACGAAATACAAAATAATGGATTATTATCAACATTAGAAAATCGACCAATGACAGGTTTAAGTTCATCGAAACAATCAAAACACAATTATATTATACATTTTAATTCAAGAAATCCATCTAATGGACATACAGCAATGGATTCAAATGAAAAAACTCGTCATTTAATTAAATCAAATTCTCATGATACATCACAAGAACGTTTTCAAAATGTATTAAAAATTGTTCGACCACCCTATATTGCAAGTATTAATAGTTCAAATCATGATTTTAAATTACAAGCAAATATGAATAATAATACAAATGGAAGTATTCGTTCATCACGTACGAATAGTGGACGTGGATCACATGAATTTCATATTGCATCAAATACAATTATTGTATGATTAAGAACATATCATATATATTATCTGATATTATCATTTTTCTCATTGACGATGAAATTGTATACATTGTCAATTTAGATACTAATTTAACTAAAAGAAAAAATATTCTATATATATATATATATGTATTAAACATTTCTTTTAAAATACAGTGATATGTTCTTGAATTCGATTTCCTTTTTGTTTGAAAAGAAAGATTTTGTCCATAATAATATATATGAAATCAATTTGTTTCTTTCTTTCTTTTTTTTCTTTTTGTATTGAATACTTAAAACAAGATGAAAAGTAATTTGACAAAAGTGTACTCAACTAATACATTTGAATGTGTTGTCAAGCAAGAATAACTGATGTTGTTGATCTTGATAAAATCTTTAACCTACTTTAATAGAATTCATTTAGAATCATTCGTATTATTTTTCTTATTCTTAAAGAATATAATAATCAAAGTGAACTTGTTCTAAGGTGCATTGGAATACGAACCATGTCAGTTGCGACAAATTTTAGATTTTGAATTCGATTATCTCATTCGAAAGCCTACAAAAAGTATTCTTGTTTACTTATTGAAAAGTGGCAAGAATCACAATTTTTCAAATTTTGGATCATATTCAGAGAATCCATATGTTCAATTCTGGTCGTATTTTGTAATTTTCTTCTCCATTATTTGATAGTTTGAGACGCAAGACATCTCAAATGATAGAGATCTTCTTGTTCTACAAAATAGGTTATTTATCGTTTGGTTTTCAATGCAATTTTTTACGATCAAGAAATCAAATCAGAAAAAAATAAGGATAGAGTTTCGGTCATGAATTTTAGTGTCACAGAGGAAAGTATAAGCAAAGTAAGAGCTACCAGTCTGAATTTTAGATATATTGTCGTCCTAATAACAACGCATCTTTTGGCGTATTGCACTAGCTTTTTCTATCACACAGACCTAAAACTTTTAATGCGTGATTGAAAACTCTCATGACTAAAGAGAGGTGAGTACTGTCTGAATCAGAGCGTAGTTCTTCGCTGAGTATAGATGTCAGAAAAAGATGAGTTTTGAGTCAGAAAGATGGCTTGTTGTTGAGTGTTTAGAGTTATCTGTAAGAATACTTACGTGATATCATATGTTTGTTTGTTTATGTTGCAAGTTGTTCTTGGAAAATGAATATCAAGAGAGTATTGACCGTCGTACATGAGCGGCTTCTGAGCACCAATTGGTTCACCACATTGAACGACAAACTGTTGTTCGAAATTCACCAAACGTGTTGATGCGTCGGATCTGTTGTCGTCGTGACTCCTGCAAAACCTCATTATTAATGTTAATTCTAAGTGAATTGGAAAAGAAAAGGACACGCACGGCAAGGAGATGTCTACTGATCATTTGATGCGATAGGCATTTGAACAGTCGGAAGATGTACATTTGGACTTTATTTTGAATGACTGAATCACTCGAACAAATTTGAATACATTAGTATCAACGGCATCGTATAGATCGATTTCTTTATCTCCGTTGTCTCTAGCCGCTTGATAAATTGAAAGCCAGAATGCTCGGGCAATATCTCAACCATCACTATCAACAAGCGAGAATGTCTTTCGGAGATGGCTATATACAGAGCGAGAATCACGTTGAAATAGCATTCTAAATTCTTCACAGCTCGTGGTATACGCATAGTAAAGTAGGAACAGAGAAGAATCCAACGAGCAAGTATTTTTCACAGATATTAGTTTATCTTCCATTGTTGTTGACGGAACTCCGTTCTTTGGAAAAGGTATGCGTAAAGATTCGATTATAGCGTGAGCAGACGGCGGATGACGAGCATCTTTCAATGCTACGGCTAACTTTTCTTTCGTGTATTTTGAAAAAGAGATTATCTTTTCACCACATTCTGGACAAAACTTTGTTTTTGTTTTATGATCAATATAATAAATTTCACATATACAGCAATGCCCGCATGGTTGAATGATAATATTAGGTGTACATCTTAGACAAATACGACAAACGTCTTTTATTGTTTTATTTTCATGGTTTAATTCCTGTAATTTGCATAATTTTTCTGCTTTTTGCAATTTTTCTTGCTTGAGAACTTCCTCTTTTCTTTTCATTAGTTGTTCAATATCAAACGCTTCACTGTTCGTAATAGCCATTGGAATATCATCGAACTGTCGTTGTTCTTCTAGTAAAACATTTTTATCATTGTTCTTTCCATATAATGATTTGCACTTCTTTTTGACTTCTTCTTGAATAAGATCTTTCAATATTTTTTTTCTTGCATCATCGTTCATTCGATATAAATCTATGCCTTTGATATGTAAATGTCGCAATACAGCTACAGCTATAAAATCAAGACCCAATGCTAACGTACAGACAAATGCGATAGAACCATCTATAGCCATGGCAGGAATATTCGCTCCAGGTATGGTTTTGACTATGTTAACAATGACTCTCGCAACACGAAAATCGAGTCCAAATGATCCTAAACCAGTAGCAACGAACCATATCAACATCCCTTTTTTGAACTTTAGTTTGAATGCTGCACATATGCCAGCAAACATACCTAGCTGAGTTGGAATCAGGAGAAATGCATCAGCAAATGGTACGGGACATAAACCAATAGTAACAGCTGCTACTGCAGCAGTACCCACAGGAATTAATGCATATTTTGAACGCTTAAGTGCCTCTACCCGTAGTACTCTTTCATTCAGTTGACCTAATCTTGTTTCTTTGTCGAGATCTGGTGAAGGTCGTCGAGTAATATACATATTCATTCGACAAACTAAAGTCTCAATATCATCATGTTTAATCCATGTTGTCTTTAATTTGTGTTTTGTTTTGGGCGATGCTTGATTCCGCACAAGTATAATTGGTAAATCAAAATCATATTTATATACTTTAATCTCTTCCATTAATGTTGGATTTACTCGATAATTAATAATATTTTGAACGAATATAATTACATTAAATTTATGGCAAGTGAGTAATAATCGATTTAAACAGCGGGTATTTTCAAAGTCATCTGATTGAAAAGCAGGTGTATCAAATATACTCAGCCGATGACCTTCAACAGTAGATACTATAAGCTGTTCTGGTATTTTTGTTACAGATTCCATTGTGCCACCTACTTTACATAATTGCTGATCAATAAGTCAAAATTAATTATTGTACTTTTACCTGAACCAAAATCGCCTGTAAGAAAAATACCATAGTTTTGCTGTGTACTTTGGATACTATTCGTATCGATAGTGTTTAACAGTAGTTGAATGGGACTGGTCGAACCAAGATTAGAAACATTTATAGTATGAGCTTCACGTTCGATCAGAAACGGGGTTAAATTATTTAGTGCTTCTTGTGTTATTTCAGTTGGAATGTTCTGTTCGGCGATATTAACGAAACCAGGAAGTTGGTCATTCTCAGCTGTAACCCGATCATTAACCAGAGAATTGTTTGCTATAACAGCTAAGTTTCACTGAAAAGCTGAAATGACTTCAATAACTCAGATGTGACATAATGTTTTTCTTTCTTAACTGATAAGAAAAATATGGCTCGTGTAAAATTCCAAGAATGACACATAAGAGAGACATAATTCTGAAGATATAGTTTGCTGTCTCATTTTTTAAATGGACGAACAACTATTTGACGATAAATAAGTGTGGATAAAATCATGGTGATCGGTATGTGTGTGTGTGTGCGAGAGTGCTTGTGAGTGCGAGGATGTGTGTGGGGTGTGGACGTTACTTTCAGTGTTTCCTTCTGCCACACACGAACCCAAATCCACACCCACGCCCATATCTGCATCAGACAAATGGATCTGCATGAATCATTTCAACATTTTCATCGAAGCACTAGAAAGAGGTGTGAGTGTGAATGCAGAAGGCATGAAGCGAATATCGACGTTCATACAAACACTCACACTCCGCATCTACAGATACGCATACCCATACCCTGTTTTTTTCTTTCTTCCTACTCATTTTTATCTTCATACGTGTAAATTTTTTTTCTTTCTGATTCTTTATCCTGAAGATAGTAAGTGACACCCGTCGAAAGTTAAAGATCGAATAATAAGTCATTTAAATGAAAAGATCTAAAATATATTTTGTTCTACTTTGCTACTATTTATTTCGTCATTTATTCATTACTATATCAACTGATTTCATATCTTCTTATTTTCTTTTTTTCAATTTTAATGACATATTTTCTTACTTTTTCATCTTGTTATTTCCCTCGTGTTCTGAAATTTTCTCATACTCATGCATGCATATTGCAGCTAAATTGACAATAGGAATTAGGTATATCTGTGATTATTAACAAAGACTGTAAAGAAGAAAGATAGCGAGGAAAAATGAAAGAAAAACGTAAATAAATTTGATCATTTCTTAAAGAAACGAGGAATGCAACATGTTCAATAAACATAACATGGGCAAAAGAAAATTTCAACAAAACGCATACCAGTTATGACAGGCAACGAATACTATGAGATTAGTAATATTCACAACGAAGCTAAATGATAAGATGTAAAACTTAGTTCTATAATAACTTCCGTTGTTCAGTGAGAAGTATTTAATAGTGATTAATTCGATGATCTGTCAAGCATAACACGAATCATCAGCGTTCGTCTTATTTTTCCGATTGTAAAACTTCAAATCGTCTAAATAACTATATTCTCAAATTATTCATGAAATAATTCAGTAATGCTATATTGGCAAAGGGATGAAAGAATATCATCTTCGATCTTTTGTGAAGAAAATATTTATAACTCTCTGGTAAAAAGTTTCAACGGAATACATACGCCAAAAGATGCGTCGTGATTAGGACGATATCATATCTAAAATTTAGATTAGGAGCTCTTACTTTGCTAGTATTTTTTCTCATGACAATAAAATTCATCACTGAAACTGTATTCCAATGTTTTTTCTGGTTTGATTCCTTTCTCATAAAAAAATGGCATTCAAAAAAAAAAGATAATAGAAATAATTAATTCTGTAAAGAAAAAAGATTTTTATCATCTGAGACGTCTTACATTTCAAACGATGGAGAAGAGCGTTGTAAAATACGACCAAAATTGAAGAAGTCAGTTTTTTTAATATGATCTGAAGTTTTGAAGAATTCGTAGTCTTTGCCATGTGTTTAATAAGTAAACCAGAATGAATTGATATTTGAATTTTTGTGACAACTTTTTGTAGGCTTTCGAATGACATAATCAATTTCAAAATCTAAAATTTTTTCTGCCGTCGATATGGTCGATCTTCTACCGAGTCCATCTTAATTTCTTTCTAAATCATACGATGAGTAAAATCTAACAAGAAAGAACTCCAATAAATATCGAGACTACCGAATTTAATGTTTTTGGTGTATTTCAATTTTTACCAGCTTTCCAGAGTTTTTTCTCTAAGTTTGAATTCACAGCATCTTAAAATTTATAATCATTGAGCTTGCTGTATTTTTGATAATAATTATTTATTTCAATAAAGTTTCTTAAGCAAATATTTCTGAGATCTTAGTTACAAATTAGACTTCATTAAATCAAATTGCGCATACAATAATTTTATTCGAATGATAATTCTCTGGTTAGTTTTCATGAATAAATAATTCCTTACACCATTTTTTATTTGTTTCAGGAAAGAAAAATAAAACAATAAAAAATTATTTCTTGATTTTACGTTGAAAATCTAGAATACGACTTCCATGACGAATTGAACCGGAACTATTATTGTCAGTCGAAGGTGCCCGACCGTTTTTATCATTTATGTTTGTAGTTTCAACCGATTTATTATCTGTATCTCGTTTGTTCAAAGATTTACCATATAAAGCCATGATCAGAGTCAAGAAGAAGAATAGATTGATGGGTGATAGGACACGCATGTTTGTTATTCCACTAGACGATGCACACAATATAGCAAAAGAATGGAAATGAATCGATATTTAAAAGGAAATATAATACAATTTAATAAATGAATACCATCTGTTACATGCAACATTAAGTGACTACTTATCAAATGAGAACAAATGTTTAGTTATTTTAATATTTACAATATTCTATTAGTTGAGGAAAAAGATTTTGTTAATATTTATGCAAAATATTTCATTCACTTTTCTTCTTCCGTCAGTTTTTATTACATCTTCAATTGCAATCGAAAATACCGAAGAAAAATATATAGACGAGAGTGGGTGTATAAGTGAAGAAGAGATCTGTACCCATACCCTACAAAAACCGGTATTCAAATTTATCAAGTTAGCTTTTTCTTTTCTATTTCGTTGTTTCATATGATCGAGTAAACTTCTTCTTGTCATTAATATTATAAAAAAATTTCATTTTCGACATTTAACCTCTTCAATTTGTCTATTTTCCTGTTTTGTTTTTGACTTTTCCTATTCGATATTTTCCTTTTCAGTATAAAAAATTGAACAATGATATGATCTATTTCTGTTTGTTGATAAAAAATAGAACATGTTTTAAATCGTTTAGTTTTTACATTCATTTCATATGTTGCTCCACGAATATAATTGACGATAGTGTTTTCTAAAGCAGATGCATGAATATGTCCTAATTAAAACTACGAAAATAATAAACATCAGATTTCTTTACTTACATATAGTTGTTGTCTGAATGTAAAATCATATCATTGCGATCTAAACCATCACAGCTTCATGGATTTAAGAAGAAATTGAACAAAAGCCCTTTTGTACATCTTCTTTTTGCTTCTTTAATAAAGCTTCTTTACCAATAAAATCTTTCTAATAGACAATTCAAATATAAATAGAGTAATTCATTAAAATAAAATTTGATTTCTTTTTACATCAAATGAAATGTGATATTTCCAATTTAAATGAATTAAAACAATTAATCATATTCAGCAATGATAATTCTATCGTGTCTGCTTGATTGCGGGCGATTTTTCTTAATTAGAGGAAAAATATGTTCGCAAAGTAGAATCAGGGGGTATAGACAAAAATGACCGCATTTTGAAAATTGTCCGCAAAGCAGAATCGAGACAGAGAATGAAAATGTCCGCATTATGGAATCAAAAAAAAAGGTTTACTTAAACTTTCACAAGATGAAGACGTTCGACGACAAATCGCAAACATTTTAATGTTGCCAATCTTACCACCTGATGAAATTAATAATGCCTTTTGTAATATCATTGAAGATTTAAGTAATATACATGTGAAATTTTGGAAATTAACTGATTACATTTTGGAAACTTATATTGAAGAACCAATATATCCACGATCTTTTTGGAATTTGTTCGATTTAATTGAAATACGACCGAAAACAAACAATCATATTGAAGGTTATCATGGGCAACTGAATTCCCATTGTCCAACACATCCTACCATTTGGTCTTGGATACGATATATTCAAGAGGCTGAGGAATCAGTAATGATTCGATTAGAACAGGAACACGCACAGCAACGAACAACTCATCCAAAAAGGTTAACTTCAGTTAATAATGAAAATATTTTAGTACAAGCAAAAGAAGATTATTTAAATGATCTACTAGATTTAGATGTTTATCAAAAAAGACTACGTTCTCTTTGTTACCGATACATTCACATATTGGATACATCTGACAAAGATGACGAAGATTATGAACCAAAGCATAGTCGAATGTTGAATCATCTCGTATTACTTGTATCTTTGTCTTTCTTCACATAATAAATTTTTTCTTGATTCTATAATGCGGACATTTTCATTCTCTGCCTCGATTCTGCGTTGCGGACAATTTTCAAAATGCGGTCATTTTTGTCTATACCCCCTGATTCTGCTTTGCGGACATTTTACCTTAATTGATTAAAAAAAAGTGTCCGCATTGTAGCTGTAGCCAAGTTCAACATTCTCTATCAGCAAGATAAAATATTTTTTTGCATACAGAAAAGTAATCCATGTTTAAGTTGACTAACAAAAATAATGGTGGCTCAAAAATATTCAGATATAAAATTAGCAACAAAGCTATATGCGTCTTCATGTGAATGTGAATATCAGTCTTCGCTTCATCTCTAATCTCAAACTTCACATCTTATTGCTTGAGAGAGTCACTTAATGACATCGGGAACATTTTCGACGTTTTTTATCTCGGACATTTTGATACATACCGATGAATCATAAAGGAATATATTTATATTGTTCTTTGTAATACATGTATATCATTCAATGATATATATTAATTGAAATGTTTTTGAACGATAGATGCAATCTTTAAAAAGTGAAGTATTAGGAAATCTTTAACAAGTCTACTGATGATAAACTTAATTTTGAATAGAGTAGCTGTAATGAACTTAAGAGACATTCAATAGATCAAGGACATTCTATAAAATGTTTGAGAACATTGAAGAGATATGTTGATTATGTGTCGATATAGAAAAAAAATGTACAGAAGAAATTAAAGTATGAAAAAAATTTCGTAAGTTTCATGAGTTTTGTATCAAAGACACAAACAAAATGACATTTCAGACTATGAAATGAATATTAAAATTGATAAATTTCAAATTCTTTGATTAAAGTAAAAATTTTAATCATGTAAATGCAATGAAGATGACTTTGTTAAAATTAAAATCATGAAATAAAATTAGTGAAAATGTTCATTTTAATATAATTTTTGTAATAATTTTGAACTTCCTAGATATTCTCAGTGGTACGCAGATGATTCTTGATCTAAACTTTGACAAATCTTAGAGAATCCTATTAAAAGAATTTTCAGATATTCTTTGTACAAAATCAATAGTAGTTTTGTTTTTACTTCCTTTTCTTGATATGGAAAGTACTCAGCGGTAGAAAATTTGCTTTGATTGTATTATTATCGTTTTTTTTCTTCTCTTTTTCGTTTCTCATGCATTGAAAGGATGAAAACAAACAATACTCTCGTACAAATAAGAAAACAAAACATGCATTACAAAATGTGACTGACGATTTTGTGCTACGAGAAACTATTCGTCAAATAAATAAAGCATTGAAAACGAAAGTACTTGTTATTGTGAGACAAAGAATTGAATAAATATGATCGAGGTATGAATAAAACTAGTTACTTGTTTTTATTCAAGAATCAATAATTCATATTGTTATTATTAGCATTCTTTTAGCCCTATAACCACATCGGTCTTAAAGGGACGATTGAGCTTTAAGACGATAAATATCAATAGTGAACTGAAGTAAAATAGAATAAGACGAAAAATAAACACAAAAAACAAAGAAAAAAACAAGAAATAAAAAAAGAACTGAAGCGTGAAGCAACCACTACGGTACAAAGAGAGCAAAAGAGCAATACAATAATCGTGGATATACCATATTTTAAAGAGATGAGTAATATGTATACATGTCGATTTTTCTTTTCTTTTCTTTCCTCTCATTCTTATTTGTCCTAGACTCGGACTACAATTATCAATCCAAATTGTTTTTTTCTTCGTCTTTTCTTTGAGTCTTCTCTCGGGAGATGCAGAATCTTTTGTAAAAAATGAAAAATTTTCTGAACGAAAAAATAACTTAAAGAATTTCTGCAGAATCATTACTTTCGAACAAACATTCCTAAAAAATAATTTTTAAAACAAAAGTTTCTTGAAAAGGATTATTTTTTCGAAAATTTCTCCGAGCGGATGTTCGGACACACGGGTAGATTATGCATCCATGTTATTCTTATCTTCTTTTTTTTGTCAACGTGGCATAGAAGTGACTGTCTAGAAAGTTTCTGGAAATAAAGCAAGGCATAAAGTTAGAGACAATTCTTCATCTTATTTTTAAGGAAATTACAATGATTTTCTTCGTATGATTTCATAGAAATAGAAATATTTTTTTGTCAGTCACATATTATCTGCTAAGGATTTATTGTTGTAGTATCGAAAGTAGAAACTGCTTCTAAAAGAAATCAGCTCATATGTATTATCAACAATACAAATTGCTCAATTATTCGTACTGAGAGACAATCAACAAAATATCCGAGAGAAATAACATTGTATATGATTTTACAGGTGTTTGAAACCCTTGGTTAAATATGACTCATAAGCAAATTAATCGCGTTGTATCTTGCAAATGTTTGAATTTTTCCAATCATAGAGACATGGAGACATTCAATGATTCTTTGGTTTTCAGCAGCTGGTAATTTTTCTTTATTCAAATCTTATCGTTTTTCTTTTGTTATTTTGTTACCGCTGAATAAATTCTTAAATGGGATTTGTTCGTATATTTTTTTATATGGTCAAATTTGATTGAAGTATGAAAATATGATATGAATTGAACAATTAGTAAAGTTTTGAATTATTTATTGATATTTTTAGTGTTTAATTGAATAATAAGCCGATTATATATGAAGGTTGAAGTTACATGTAGAATGAGACGTGTATTACGATTATTCATGAAAAATGTAAATTTTGTTTGTTTGTTAGGGAATACAAAAGAACTATTTAGTTATAGTGAGAGAAATAAATATGTTTTTGTTAATAAAATGGATGTAATATTCGTCAATCTATTCACTGGCTGTTAGCTCTGTAGAGAAATTAAGTGTGGCAAAAAGGCTTAGTAAAACAATCGATTAATTTATTAAATTTTATTTTATTCTTCATTGTTAATATATATATATGTGAGATATTGAAAGAAAGACAATTGTTTTGGTGAATACAATACACAATATAATTAATATCAATGATTTAATATTATAGAGATAGAAATGTACGATGAACGTTGATTGTATTTTTCAGTTATTGATGCTTATTGTTTCGTTTTGTTTTGTTTTCACGATTTCACGTGAACATTTTCTTTATTTATTTTTCTGAATGAAACGATAAACAATTGATTGTTTGTGTTGAATATTGGATGGCGTTAATTCTGAATTGATGTTTTCGAAATAATAAATAACATAATTTTTTTAAAATTTAAATATGACTAGATAAAAATCAAATTTTTCCAATATTATTACATGACGATTGAAAATCCAATTAGTTTTATGTTCTCTCTAAATAAGTTTTTCTTTGGTTTTTACTATCAAAAATAAGACAATAAAAAGAGGTATAAATTAAATCGAATAATTCTTTACAAGTATTTTTTTACTGTGGTCAATTACTTTATGGTTAATTTCTTCTTCTCTAGTTATAAAATTTTAAGATTTCATGTAATTAAGCCTCAGATAAACATATGAATTTTCAAGGCTTTATAGGATTGATGACTTTGTAACACTGTAACATGTATTAAAAAATATTATTACTCCAAGGCCTCACAGTTTTTTAGGAGCTATTATGCAGAGTTGAGCAAGTAAGAACTCTGTTGAGTACGACTATGTGTGCCAGTAGCGACCCTCGACTATAGGTAGAAGTACATAGATGTTTCCTAAAATTGAGAGTACAAAGGTTTTAATTAGTACATTTAGGAATGAGGCATCAATTTAGTCATTGACACATTATTAGGAATCATGAATCAAAATGTTAGTATATATTTTTTAGAATGTCATTCTTCATGCATATGTGAGTGAGTCTTCTTTTCATCGATANTAATCAATTAATTAGTAAATATTAGTTTATATTATAGTCTTATATGCACTTAATAAATAATATAAATACAATTTTTTTCACTTATTAATAATTTTACTCTATTTATTTATTTTTTTTACTAAATTCAAATAGAGCATAAATTGATTATTACAATCAAAGAAATATGAAATAAAAAGTTAATTCAAGTAAAGCTCAACTAATTTAGAAACATTTTTAGTACTTCCACTCTTAGGCTTTGAAAGAGATGATTGTATTTTATTATTTTAAATAAATTGGACGCAAATTCTGTTATGCCGTCGCTTTAATTATACCTTCTTTCTCTGTAGATAAATTATAAAACGAAAAATTCTGTTTTTTTCTTAGCTGATTGACTTACAAGACGGGAACTTGAAAAGAATGAAAAGCCAATTAACTTTTAATCTAGGATGGTATCCTTTTATTAAGACCATCTGATTAATCCTCACTAAAGAAGACTTAAATCAAGGCTATAAAGTAACGTTCTTCGAAGGCTATAAAAAAAAGCTATCAAAATAGGAACTAAAATCAGGAATGAATGCTAAAGAAGATTTCATCATTATTGTTTTATTAAAAGATACCTTTTTGTGATCGTTATATCCTATATGTATTGAAAATAATAAAATACAACCATCTCTTTCAAAACCTAAGAGAGGAAGTGCTAAAAATGTTTCTAAATTAGTTGAGTTTTATTTGAATTAACTTTTTATTTCATATTTCTTTGATTGTAATACTCGATTTGTACTCTATCTGAATTTAATAAAAAATAAATAGAGTAAAATTATTAATAAGTGAAAAATTTTTATTTATATTATTTATTAAGTGCATATAAGACTATAATATAAACTAATATTTACTAATTAATTGATTATATCCACTCGGGTGCACATATCCACTTCCAAATAAATAAATGTTAGAGAAATTCCAATAATCTATGACTTAAATATGAAAAAATAATTTTCATAAATCCTAAACATATTTTCATAATAATCAATGCAACTTCTGACGAAGAATTTGTTTTTTTTGTGTTTAATTTTTTAAATATGTAAATAATAAAAAAAAGGAATAAAAAACATTATTTTAGCCTATCATTATATTTCATCTTTGATATGTAAATACAGGGTGTCACATAACCTTTACGTCCCCTTCTAGCAACTTCAATTGTAAATG